ATTTGATCTTACCAGGTCAGAGCTTCTGCTGTTTTTGCACTTGGAAATCTTGTGGATATTGGATCTCCATCACTGAATGGAGCTGACGACGATTCTGATGATGATGAAAAGGTGAGAGCTGAAATAAATGTTGTCCGAAGCCTTCTGCAGATCTCTTCAGATGGTAGCCCTCTTGTTAGATCTGAGGTTGCCGTAGGTACGTGAATTTGCCTAATACATTGGACTTACACTCATTTAGTAATGTGTCAAGCCTATAGATTCCTCTTGATTTTGTGGCGATAATTTTGAGTTGATCTGATGTGTTGCAGCGCTTACCCGCTTTGCAATGGGGCACAATAAACATATCAAATCTGTTGCCGCCGAGTACTGGAAACCTCAAACCAATTCACTGCTCAAGTCATTACCATCGTTGGCTAATATTAATTCGAGCAATGTTTACAGTCCCAGCAGCTTAATACAAGGTAGCAGTGGCCTTGCCTCACATATTGGTCCCGTTTTAAGGGTTGGCAGTGATAACAGTGCCACTGCTCGTGATGGAAGAATCTCTACGAGCAGCCCGATTGCAACAAATAGCATCATGCATGGTTCTCCACAGTCAGATGATTCTTCCCAACACTCTGATTCAGGCATATTACTGAGAGAGAATGCAAGTAATGGTGGTCTCAACTACTCAAGATCGAGGCCTATTGATAATGGGATCTATTCCCAATTTATAGCAACTATGTGCAATGTTGCTAAAGATCCTTACCCAAGAATTGCAAGTATTGGGAAAAGGGCATTGTCCCTCATAGGTGTTGAGCAAGTAAGCATGAGAAACAGTAGACTTAGCAATGGAGGTGCACACCCAGGAGAGACATCTGTGCCCCCTTCATCAAACTTTGGAATGGCACGCTCCTCTTCCTGGTTTGATATGAACTCTGGTAGGTTAATAATTTCTATCCTTGCCAAGTGCTTGGAGGATGCCTGCCTTTTTGCATGCACTACATTATTGTGTGGGGTGTAAATGATTATTGAATTCAGCTCTTTCAATATTTTGTAGGAAATTTCTCGATGGCCTTTAGGACTCCTCCTGTTAGTCCCCCTCAGCATGACTACCTCACAGGATTGCGCCGAGTGTGCTCGATGGAGTTCAGACCACATGTTTTGAACTCACCTGATGGCTTAGCTGATCCTCTTTTAAGCTCCAGTGCAGCCCCCAGCAACATGGGGCTCGATATACTTCCCCAATCATTAATTTACAGATGGAGTTGTGGTCACTTTTCTAGGCCACTTCTAACTGGTTCTGATGATAACGAGGAAGCAAATGCTAGAAGAGAAGAGCGAGAACGAATTGCAATGGATTGCATTGCTAAATGCCAACGATCTTGTATGTGGCCTAGCAACACTATTTTACATTATATTTTTGCTATTGGAGTTCTATTTATTTATCTGATTAATGATATGCTTCCCCTTCTTCTGTGTGTTGGTGGCATTAGCAGCTTGCAAGATGACCAGCCAAATTGCTAGCTGGGATACGAGGTTTGAGTTGGGTACAAAAGCATCATTGTTGTTGCCATTTTCTCCTATTGTTGTTGCTGCGGATGAAAATGAGCAAATACGGTAAACAGATTATACTGGAATCTCTTGTTAAAATCGATTTTTTTTTTGTGCTTCAGATACACTAGTGCAGTTGCGCTAAAGTTTGGTCTCATTTCAGAGTATGGAACTATGATGATGCGCTGCCAGTGAATACTTTTGAAAACCACAAGTTATCTGACAGAGGCCTATCTAAACTTTTGCTGATCAATGAGCTTGATGATAGCTTGTTGTTAGTTGGCTCAAGTATATCTCTTATCTTTATGTTTTTTCTGTTCTCATTTGTTTTGTACCATTTTGATATGTATTTTTTTTTTCATATTGTAGGTGATGGAAATGTCCGCATATGGAGAAACTATACTCAAAAGGGAGGACAAAAACTTGTAACTGCTTTCTCATCAGTTCAAGGCTATCGAAGTGCTGGTCGCAGTATTGTATTTGATTGGCAGCAACAGTCGGGTTATCTGGTGAAACTCTAAAGCCTTTTCCCGATGTTTTGCAAATTGCAATGTCTCATTAATCAAGGCTATTGTAATATGGAACTTACTCCTTTTGTTGTAAAACAGTATGCATCTGGTGACATGTCCTCTATCCTTGTATGGGATCTTGACAAGGAACAACTTGTCAACACCATCCAGTCAACTGCTGATAGCGGGATTTCAGCTCTTGTGAGTTCTTTGTTACTGTGTGCATATGTGCTATTTGAGTGTGAAAAATTTAAAATAATGATTTTAGCTTCTTTTTTCAGTCTGCATCTCAGGTTCGATGTGGCCAATTCGCTGCTGGTTTTCTTGATGCATCTGTCAGGATATTTGACGTGCGTACACCTGATAGGTAAGTAGATGTTTGATGAGATATCAACCACATGTTCCATTGCAGAGATTTCGCTTCATGTGCATCCTCCGCCCACAACACACATATGCATGCTTATTTGCGCGCACACATTTATGCTACTTCCTAAGTTCAATTTTTCCCATTGCTGTAGGCTAGTATATACAGCAAGACCACATGCCCCAAGATCAGAAAAGGTTGTTGGTATAGGATTTCAGCCTGGGTTTGATCCCTACAAGGTAAATCCTCCCTCTTTGTGCACATCTTCTGTATTTCTTGTAGTTTTAATTGTTAGAGCAGCCAATTTTTTAGAACTTTATGGGATTATTTGAGCTTTACAGAGCTCCCTTTTTGTTATTTATGCAATTACAGATTGTAAGTGCATCTCAAGCTGGAGACATTCAGTTCCTTGATGTTAGAAGGGCATCTGAACCCTACCTCACTATTGAAGCACATAGGGGTTCATTAATGGCATTAGCTGTTCATCGGCATGCCCCAGTTATTGCAAGCGGCTCAGCCAAGCAGATGATCAAAGTGTTTAGTCTTGAAGGAGAACAGTTGACAATAATTCGCTACCAGCCATCTTTTATGGGTCAACGAATAGGCAGCGTAAACTGCCTTTCTTTCCACCGATACAAATCACTCCTTGCCGCTGGTGCTGGTGATAATGCTCTTGTTTCTATCTACGCGGAGGACAATTACCAAGTACAATGAGGTTTACAGCTTGTTCCATGATGCAATGATGATGCATTCAGTTGGCCTCATGTATGGCCAAGCGTTGATCCACACCAATGGTACAGCTACAAGATACAAGATGTTATGGAGAGCCTGGTCAGTGACATGGTGGTGGTGGTATAGAAGTGCCACAGCTTCTGGTGCATTGCTTCTTGGGCATATCTACATCTCTGATCTGACCTGCAGTTTGTAAGATACAAAACAGGGTTCATTAGCCTCCCTTGCAGAAGGTCGCGAAAGTGGCATCTTGCCCTGGTCCCATCATTACACTTGGAGGCTTCCCAAATAACTAGGTTAACCAAACTGTAAATAGTCATCCTATTTGGATTGTTGTTCTCCTTAGCCAGCTTCCTTTCCCAAATGTAAAAAGGTTTGGAGGTGCTTCCATATGATAAATCAGGTTAGTGGGGACTGCCTGGGCAAGTGGTTGTTTATATGGGCCCAGGGAGAATGCATGCGCATGTCTCTCATAGATGTTGTTCAATAGATAGATGCATTTGTCCAGCTAACACAATATTACATGGCTTGATGAATCAATGCCTTCTTTTAAGTCTTTCATTGTAAGCACTGGACAGTCATCCAGTGCATCAAGGTAGGGCGTCATTGTCCTTTTGTATATATGAATTGTACTTGTACAGTTGCCCACTTTGATGCAATGCGTCCAAAGATGTTTTGAGGTCGCCCTTGGGTTTATTTGGCGCCACACAACAGTTGAAGAATCAGGTATGTCTACATGGGAAGATGTTGAGGTAGAATGATGAGGATTGGAAGGCCGGAAGCACTTTGGGTCTGTAAATAGTTTAATGGAAGTAGTGATGTGAAGCTGTGAGTGTTTTATCTTTGTGGCTTTGTCTGGGTCGCCAGACAAACCAGTGACCTTTGGATGTGCTGGATCTATTATTGGAGGACCGGGAAAATGCTGGTGGAAGTCTTACATTTGCTGAAATTGTCTTGGGGAGAAACTCAAATGAAGGCATTTTGGCAGTTGGTATAGAAATGATTCTATTGGGCGTTTTCATACCGTGGAGAAACACTGGGGAAGTCTGATACTGAAACTGTCTTGGATGAGAAACTCAAATGAAGGCATATGGCGGTGGCAAATACACAAATGTACCTGGGTTCCATAGCTTGGAAGAACCCTGGGGAAAATATTCTGATGCTTGGAGAGTTGGAAGTGAGCAAGAACCCTGGGGAAAATATTCTACTGAGGTGTAACCTGTACTCTCTCCGTTTCACAATATAAGTCATTTTAGTATTTCTTACATTTATATTGATGTTAATGAATCTAAACATATATTCATTAACATCAATATGAATATGAAAAATGCTAGAATGACTTACATTGTGAAACGGATCACAATATAAGTCATTTTAGTATTTCTCATATTTATATTGATGTTAATGAATCTAAACATATATTCATTAACATCAATATGAATGTGAAAAATGTTAGAATGACTTACATTGTGAAACGGAGGAAGTAACTGATTAGCGTCGGGAGCATAGCACATTGGTCGAGTGAGTGAGTAATAAGGGTGTCTGTGTGTTTGAGATGTGTAATAAAGGATCGATCTTGTTGACGCTCGACTTGAGGAGCGAATGCAAATCATCAGATCATACTGGTGTACTATTTATGTTGAGGATGTTTTCCTGGCCACAATTTATACCACCACCATGTTTTGCACCCAAAAAAAAAATCAATTGCTAGGAGCGCTTAGAAGCAGAAAGCTACTGTTTTTTGTTTCTTTTCCTTTTTTTAATAAAAAAAATAAGTAGTCGTTCTGAGGCACTTACAAGTGGGCCCATCGCTGGGCCTCGAAGAATCGACCATCCACACGCACGCACTTATACAATTTGGTTTCCACCTTTTCTTGGCATCGCACCACGCACACAACCAAAACCCTTCTCTTCTCTCTCGACTCTCGACGACGCTGCGGCGGCGGTGGCGGCGAGGTGGGAATGGACATGCCGCCCACGCCCCTTCCGCCGGAGACCGCCAACACCTCGCCCGCTCCCAACGGCGCCACCGCCGGAATCAGTATGTTTCTCTCTCTCCCCCCTCCCTCTCAACACTCTTCTTTGGTCTCAACAAGAACCAAGGGAGGACTGTTCATTCCAACGAGCTAACCGCAGGTTTTGGTTCCTCTCCACTTTTTAAATGGAAATTGCTTTACTGGAGAGCATTCACCATCATACATGATGCATTGATGCGCCTGGGATGTAACTACTACTACATTTGTTGCCGAAACATTACTTGCATTATTATGTCATCTTGATAGAGAGCTGGTTGCTGGGACGAAATCTCAAAAATTGCTCTTCCCGGCATCGTGGTAATGCTATTTTCTGAGTTGTGGTATGCTTGATTTGGCCCAGGGGTTGAGAACTGCTACGTCTTCAAGAGCCGGCTGCAAGAGTATGCGCAGAAAGCCGGCCTCCAGACTCCAGAGTATCATACCTTCAAGGAGGGACCTTCCCATGAGCCTGTCTTCAAGTCCACAGTGGTGATTAATAACACCAGCTATGACTCCCTGCCCGGATTCTTCAACAGAAAGGCTGCAGAACAGTCTGCTGCTGAAGTTGCCCTCATGGAAATTGTCAAGTCCATACCAGCCAACGCAAACATCCCAGCTGTTGTAAGTCACTGTCTGCTCTACTTGTGTTTTTGTTTAACTCAACATGATGGAATACCTGGGGCCTGGGAGGACCTGCTGGTGTAGTACAAGATTAGTAAAAGTGTTGGGATAGTCTACTTATTTCTATACAGTGCCTGCTTTTGAATTCGCGCGAATCCGAAGAATGAGATAGCCACTCACCTGATAACTCCAGAACGAATCAGGGCTTTCATGTTTGGATAGAGTTAGGTCCTAGAGAGCAAGAAGAGAGGGTATTTGCATAGAAGAGATTGTGAAAGCTTTGCTGTCAGTCACCACGGTCTTATTATTATCTGCCGTCATGATCTGTCTGTATCTTTTCAGGCTCATAATTCTACTCAGGTATTATATGAATATAACAGGAAATTGGTTGTTAAAGAGCTTCTGAACTCACTCTTCCCCGGTTTGTGAACCATGAACAATGCAAACATCAAAGTACACATATTAAGTTTTGTGATCATTTCCGAGTCCAAGACCTAGATAATTTTGATGCTCTTTTGGTCGAGTCCCTAGGAATTAACGCCTGACTAAATTAGCATAGTGCTATAATCTCTTACCTGGATTCTATGTTCTTGACACACCTTAATATGTTTTCCAGCAAGAGACTGGCCTGTGCAACACAGGAAGTCAGCAACTGAACCTGAGGGAAATGCACCGAGAAGCTGACCACCACCACCGCCTTCTGGCAACCCTTGCACGCCACTGCCGTCTTGCTGCCGCTGCCACCTTCTTCTCCTCCACCCTCCGCACTGCTCGTGCCCTCAACTCCCTCCTCGCTGCTATCTGCTCTTCCCCAGCGTTCCTCCGCTTTGCCCCTAAAGTCCTCTTGCTCGCTGCCCCATCAGTCTCCCCTGATGCGACCACCTTCCACATCCTCATCTCCACACTCTGCCAGGCCCACCGCCCCGCTGCTGCCGCCGACCTCCTTTGCTGCATGCCCTCGCTTCTTCTTGACCCTGACCTGGCCAGTTGTCGTGCTGTCCTCTCCTCCCTGTGCCAGTACGCTTCCGCTCAGGATGCAGTAGCATTCTTGGACAAGATGTGCCATTGGGGCATTTCCCCAAGCAGATCTGACTACCACGCCGTCTTCGATGCGCTTCTGCAGGAGGGAAAGGTAGCGGAGGCATATGAGGTCATGAAGAATAAGATGGGCTCTAACAGGGTGGCACCTGCACTTGCATACTTCAAATTGACAATGCAAGCTTTCAGCGAGTGCTTGGAGTTCGATTCTGTGGAGGAGGTGTTTGATGAAATGCTCCTGAGAGGGCTGGTACCAGACGTGGATGTGTATAGTGTGTACATCAGCGCGCTATGTAGGAAAGGTGACCTTGCCGGAGCGCGGCAGATGATGACCTGCATGGAGCACGCCGGGTGCCCACCGGATGTAAGGACATTTGGTGTGGTAGTCGCCGGGTGCATGTCTGCCGGGGACATGGGCACAGTGAGGGAGTTGGTGCAGGAGGCAATAAGGCGTGGCCTGCAGTGGGATCCACCAGCATTGTCGGAGCTGATAGGCTTGCTGCAGGCAGGTGATGGTGCCACACAGTCACAGGAGTTACTGTTGGAGCCACTATTTGTGCACGATGCACCAGTGTTGGGGCAGCTGATTGGAGCATTGTGCAAGCAAGGGCTATTGGGACCTGCTGCTGTAGTAGATGATTATTAGAAAGCATTGTAATTGTCTTTTTGTTTCAAACTTTCAATACAGTTGTTGGTTTTGAATTCTCAGAAATCTGAAGAACGGCATAAGAATTATAAAAACAGAGACAGAAAAGGCAAACCATGGACTATAACTCCAGGAATACTCAGAGCTTTCGGCTTTGTAGATCACTAGATTGTCGGCTAAAGTTAGGACCCAGTGAGCAAGAAGGGAGGGTATTTGTATAGATCGGCCAGGTAGGAGATTGCAGAAAGTCTTTATTGTTGTCTTCTGTCATGATTTATTTGTATTTTCTCAAGCTTACAACTCTACTAGGTTATTCCCATGAATACAATAGGAAATTAGTCGTTTAATAGCTACTGAACTCGTACTGCCAGGATTTAGATAATTTGGATGTTCTTTAGTTCTTAGGAATCAGGCTGACTAAACTTAGCATAGTGTTATAATCTCTTTCCTGGATCACTGTGCATTTTTTTACACATATTAATATGTTTTCAGCAAGAGACTGGGCTGTGCAAGAATCTTCTTCAGGAGTATGCACAGAAGATGAATTATGCCATTCCATCTTATATTTGCACCAAATCAGCCTCAGGCTTAGCTCCTTTCATATGCACTGTAGAGATTGGTGGAATACAATATATTGGTGCTGCAGCCAGAACAAAGAAAGATGCAGAGATAAAAGCTGCTCGAACTGCTCTTCTGGCAATTCAAGGTATTGTTCTGTTCTTCTCTAAGGGTCTTATTTTTATTTTTTATATTATCCAGGCTATTCACTGTTAAAATTAACATTGCTATGTTCTTGTTTGTGTGTTATTATGGTGAACATTGGGTCATGCATGGGCATTGCTTGGTGCAGGTCAATCAGAGGGTTCTGCAAATGGTGCGACAAAATATATTGTAGTTCCTGGTAAAAGGGTAGGTAAGGAGGTAGAGAAAATGCCAATTGAAACCCCCAAACCACTTAAAATAAAGAAAGGTGGTTTCAAGAAGAAATGGAACAAGAGGAAATTCATGAAGAAGGATGGTCAAGCTGTTGTGGAAAAGGATGAAGCTAGAGTGGCTGGAGATGCTCACGATTCTGACGTCCTAATGCAGCCAACAGTAATAACACAGGAGGCATCTTGTGGCACTCTGTTCCTTCAACCTTGTGAGGAAGCTAAAAGAGTAGAAGCTGAGCCACCTAGAGATATTGAAATGGTACAACCTGATAAGGAGAACCAACACAGTGACGCTGCATTGGTGCAACCTGATGATGAAGCTAGAGTAGAACAGGAGCCATCCAGAGATATTTCAGTGGTGCCACCTAATGAGGAAGCTATAAGTGTTAAGCAGGAACCATCCATCGATGCTGCAATTCTGCAACCTAAAGAGGAAGCTTCAAGTGTAAAGCAGGAGCCATTCATCGATACTGCAATGCTGCAAGCTTGTAAGGAAGCTGGAAGTGTAGAACTTGGGCCAGCCAGAGATACTGTAATTTCTCAACTTAATGAGCAAGATAGGGGTGTAAAGCAGGAGCCAGCTGGTGACACTGCAGTGCCACAACCTGACGTGGACGCTAGGGTCGTAAAGGAGGAGTCACCAAGAACGGAACCTAATGGGGAAGCTACGAACATGAAGGAGACACCAAAGAACTCTGCAGTGTGTAATTCTCCAGAGACAAAGGAATTTGGAGATATTACAGCAATGGGTTCAGATCCTCCCGCAACTAATATGAGCGAAGAATAAGCTGTGGTTGTTGAATCAAAATGCAATAGCTTTAGTGTGTTCACCTGCAGAGGGCGAAGAATAAGCTGCGGTTGTTGAATCAAAATGCAATAGCCTTAGTGTGTTCACCTGCAGAGGTGTGAAACATGAATGGCTGGCTTTTCCAGTTTAAAAAGAGGCAGCTGGAATAGGAAGATGTATGTGGGCTGAGAATAGTTAGTTCATATTTGTCATTGTTAGCTAGGCATGTGTATGCCTGATGATATGAATGAAATGTATTACCTGCTGCTTTAGTGAGCACTACTTTGAAAAGAAGGGGAAAAAATGAATTCGAGGTTTCTGATCCCTGTTTCCTCTCGAACTGGTAATCTGATTGTTGGATGGTTCTTATTTGGAAATCAACATTTTCTTGTTAAGGATGCTAAGAATACATTAACTTCCTGTCTGGATATACTAGCATTGCCCACCAAATACCCAAACTACAGTATATCCAACATGTTTCCAGGATTTACTTGCTTTCTTCCAAACATTGTTACAAGAAAGAAGTATTCACGTTCAGTCTATGCTTCCTCCAACATCTAACATGGACACATGGAAGTATTCACATTTTTTTTAGCAATTCCGTTCAGCAATCAGTAGTTACTGTTAGCCAATCTAAAATATATATAGAACATTCCTACTACATCTCAATCCTGCTGTACCCTTGCAACTTCTGAACGTGATTCTGAACCATCCTCCTCCTGGTCTCCTCTGCAGACTGCCACTCTCCATCGTCAGCATACACGTTTGACAGCGAAATATAAGCGCCATCGCTGCTCGGCGCCATTCTCAGGATCTGCTCTGCCGCAAGCACGCCAAGTTGCTTGTTCCCATGTATCCGGCAACCGATCACCAGCGACCTCCAAACTGCAGGCCATGGTTGGAACGGCATTGCATCGATCACACCCTTCGCCTCGTCGAGTAGCCCCTTTCTTGCCAGGAGATCAACCAGGCAGGCGTAGTTGGCTCTTGCTGGATGCATGCCATACGCAGACAGCATGGTGCTGAACACAAGCTTCCCCTGCTCGACTAGCCCCAAATGGCTGCAGGCTGACAGAATGGCAACGAATGTGGCTGGTGTTGGACTCAATTTAGCCTTTGTCATCTCTTCGTAGAGGTTGAGAGCTTCGTGGATCAAACCATGGTTGGCATAAGCTGTCAGCATGGTGTTGTACAGGATGGCATCGTCGGTTCCTGATGAAACAACGGTGAAAGCGCTCTCTGCAGAGGTAATCTCACCACATTTCGCGTAGGCATCAACAACAGCGCTAGCTACGCAGAAGTGCTTGGAATGACCTGTCTTGAGAACAAGCGAATGGATGCATCTGCAGTGCCTGATCAATGCAGCATTTGCACAGGCATTTAGGACGGTTGCCAGGATGAACTCATCAGGCTTGTTGGTGGAGTCACCTCTAAACAAGTTGAAAAGGAAAATGACCTCATCGTTCAGGCCATGCTTCAGGAATGCTGAGATAACGACTCCCCATGACACCAGCTCCATCTTGCCAGCGTCCTCGATGATTTTTAGTGAAATCTGAACTGACCCAAACGCTGCTACATTTGCCTTGATCAGTGAAGTGGACACGAACTGACAGGAGGCAAAACCTTGTTTCAGAATAGTTGCGTGGATTTGCTCATGATCCCTTGCACCTTGAGCTTCCTGGAAGGCAGACAGAACAGCTGAGTAGGTGAACTCATCAGGTCTTTCTCCAAAGCAAACCAAACTGCGGAAGAGCTTCATTGTTTCTTCAGAGTGACTGAAGAGACCATAACCTGCAATCATCTCGTTCCATGTCACAATGTTTGTGGATGTGAGACTACAGAAGAAGCCATATGCACGGTTGAGCAATCCACATCTGGATAGCATGTTGATTACTGCATTTGCTACAAGAACATTGTCAGTATAGCCATGACGGTAGGCAAGGGCAACGATCTGAAGGCCCAATGATTCATTCTCTTTAGCACCACTCAGCCTCAACAAGACAGAGAAAGTAACCTCATTAGGTTTACATCCGATTCGTGACATGTCAATCAAGCAGCCAAAAACTGCCTTGTCGTCTTCATCATGCGCAAAACCTGAAATCATGGTATTCCAAGACACGGTGTCTTTTTGTCTAATCTTGCGAAAGACAGAAGCAGCAGTTTCCTTCTGTCTGGCTCTGAAATACATATCAACAAGGGAATTCATGACCGAGGTATTGGACTCGAGCATGCTGTGGATGACAAGACAGTGAAGCTGTCGCCCAAGATCCCACTGCGCACTGATTGAACAAGCCTTAACAGCAGAAATATAGGTGTACCGGTCAGGTGCAAGCCCAGAATGATGCATCAGGAGCACCGTACGAATGGCATGATGCCCAAAACCATTCAAAACATATCCTTCGAGCATGGCATTCCAGCACGTCAAATCTTTGTTCCTGATATGTGCGAATGCACGCTGTGCAGCAGCAATGCGGCCATGCTTTGCGTACATGAGCAGCAGAGAGCTCCCCACAAAAGGATTGCTATCCAGGCCAGCTCTGACGGCAACACCGTGGAGCGAAAGGGCGATGAGGAGCTTATTGGAGGAATGGGCCACCATGGAGTGGCAGGCAGTGAGCATGGTTGCGAGCGAGAACTCGTTGGGGCAGAAGCCGCTCCTGATCATGGAAACGAAGAAACGAAAGCCCAGGTGGGGCGCGCCATTGCCCGTTGAGGCAGAGACCATGGCTGTCCAGGAGACGAGGTTCCTTTGCGGCATTTCGTCGAACACCTTGAGTGCTGAGTCGAGAAGGCCCCGCCTAGCGTAGTAGATGAGGAGGTGATTCATGTTGAAGGTGTGAGCGAGCGTGCCCAGCTTAAGGGAGTGCGCGTGGAGGTGTGAAGAGGAGGAGGAGGAGGAGGCCATGGAGGCGATGGCGAAGGGATCCCTGGAGATGGAGGTGGAGGAGGTGCAGTAATGCAGCAGGTGGAGAGGAGAATGCGATTGGAGGAGGTGGCGGCGGTGAGTCCAAGGAAACATGCCGCCGTCGCTGCTCGATCTCATGAGTCCAAGGAAGTTGTTTGTGTGATCTCTCTCTCTCAGTTGTTCCTTGAGAGAAATTTCGTTTCTTTTAATTTTCTGTGTGGGGTAACTGTAATACTAACGCAACTGCACGGGAACGGAATTGCAGGGAGCAAGATGGGCCTATTTACCTTTGTTGAATGAGTCCGTGAGATTATGGGACCATCAACTGTTGTCCGTCCCTCTCCCAGCACCTCCAGCTCCAGTCACTTCACTGATTCAAGTACCACCCTACTCCAGTTAATGCCTGTAGACTATACATCTTAAATTAAATATAATGTTTTTTTTTTGGCATATCCCATCTGGCTGGAGAAGAAAAGGAAGGCCTTGTCTGTATTTTCCTCATGAATCACACATGCAGCAACAGGGTCCAGAATGGCAGGCAGCTCAACGCCTTTCTTCCTAATATAGGACTTGTCCACTTCACTTGGAACTTGGAAGAAGATGTCTCTGTTGCCTTCCTAATTACTGCAACATATAAGCAGCGCCACCCAAGTCTGACCTGAACTGACTTGACCGTCTCAAGTCAACCCACGATGACACCGGACTGCAAAAACTCTACAAGCTCCAAAATTTTGGGAGAGCCATTGCTTTGCTTGCTTGTACAAGAACCCCTCTTTTCAACTGAAAAACAAATTATATTCAGTTGTGGATCCAATAAGAGTGGATCAAACAGAAAGTTGCAAGTTGCAGCCTTGTCTCCTTTCTGGTAAGACTTAGCTCTCCAAACTCTCTCCTCCCCTTCTTCCTTGCTGCTTTTCGACAAAATCCCCTCTTTTCTTTTCCCATGTCCAGATTCTTGTGTCCATTGTAGATTTTTCCTGAAATTTCATCTGTTTTCTTTTTCTCCTGAAATGCAGGTGGACGAGAAGGGGGCTTTGCGAATTGCAATTTTGCAATGCTTCTTGCTTGTGATTGTGACGACGATGCACAAACCGCAGAGAATGGCAACGCCCCGATGCTCAGCAACTACCGCGCCCAGCCTGCGCCACCGCTCGCCGAGCCCCTCCTCCTCGACAAGCCACAGCGCGCGCACTGGCTCAGGCAGCTCAAACCGTGGCGCCGCAATGCCGCCGACGACCACCTCTCCGCCGGAATCGCCATCAACTGGAGCTCTGTGCGTTCGGCGACCAAGGACTGGATCACCAACCCCATGAACATCGCCATGCTCCTCTGGCTTCTCTGCGTCGCCGTCTCCGGCGCCATGCTCGTCCTGCTCCTCCTCGGCCTGCTCGACGGGGCGTTCCCCACGCCGGCGGCGAGGAACCACTGGATCGAGATCAATAACCAGGTTCTCAACGCGCTCTTCACGCTCATGAGCCTCTACCAGCACCCCGTCCTCTGCCACCACCTCTTCCTGCTCTGCCGCTGGCGCCCCGCCGACGCCGCCGACCTCCGCGCCGCCTACTTCAAGGACGGCGCCGGCCCGCGCCACGGCGAGCGCGCCCACATGGCCGTCGTGGTCGCGCTGCTCCACCTCACCGTCGCCTGCCAGTACGTGCTCTGCGGCCTGTACTGGGGGTACACCAAGAAGACGCGGCCGGAGCTCGTGGAGAATGGGTTCTTCGTGCTCGGCGTCGTCGCGCCGGTCGTCGCCGTCGTGTACACCGTGTGCAGCCCGCTCGGAAAAGACAACTACGGCGAGCTCGCGTGCCCCAACGCCTTCGACTCGGTGAGCCAACACAAATGCACGGGACACGCCGTGGTCGAGCCGGAGTGGGCCGGCGGCATGTTCGACTGCGGCGGCGACGCGACGGCGTGGTGGCTCTCCCTGTCGTGCACCTTCTGCGCCTTCGGGTGGAACATGGAGCGGCTCGGATTCGGCAGCATGTTCGTGCACACCGCCACGTTCGTGCTTCTGTGCTTCGCGCCGCTGTGGGTGATGGGCGTGTCGGCGCTCCACATCCACGACGTGGTCATCGGCGACATGGTCGGCGGCGCCGGGGCCCTGCTCTGCGTGTGCGGCCTGCTCTACGGCGGCTACTGGAGGATCCAGATGAGAGAACGCTTCGGGCTTCCGGCGAGCACGGCGTGCTGCGGCTCGCCGTCGGTGACGGACTACGCCCGGTGGCTCTTCTGCTGGCCGTGTGCGCTGGCGCAGGAGGTGCGCACGGAGAGCCTCTACCACATCGATTGCGAGACGTTCTACAAGAAGCTTCCTGTTGTCGATGACGTTGAAGACGAGAAGAGGCTACCGTTGCTGGCGTCACACCATGTCCAATTCCATGAACCACCGGACACGATGATCATGGCAGCATCAGAGGGATCAAATGATCATGTGGTGATTGTTCATGAGGAGATGGTTCCACCGGCTGTACAGGTTGTGGTGGAGCAAGTCGTCGTTGAAGGTGATAAATCTGAAGAAGAATGCAGTGCAGTTCATGATGAGAAGATCATGGGTTCGCCTCTTCCGGAATCGGTGGTGATTGTGGATGATGATGAGATACCGGCCAGTTTGTCGGATGGAAGCTGGACGGTGGAGAAGGTGAAGAGACTGATAAATGTTGTCACTTTGGTTTCTTTGCTCATTCTTCTCTACACCAGGGGATTCATTCGTTAGTGAGGCACAGAAAATGCATACAAAAGGCTACAGATTCAATAGCTACTTAGCTAGATGACTGAATTCTCTCATCTTTCTCCATTTCTTTTTGTTGGTTGTGATCGAGAGGAAGTTCATTCTTTGGAGTTTGGGTGTACATAGGCATACTGCTGGCATAAAGATGCCACAGGATTTTGAAGGGATTGTATATTTGTAATCCGTTCCCAGCTGCAATTGCACCTTGGAAATAGTGAATCTCTAATGCAATTATATCTCATTATTTCAGTTTGCCCAGTGTGGCTTGTGTTTCAGGAAACTCACTTGGGGTGGTTCTACAAAGATATTGTAGTTTCAGTTAGAACTTAGAATCCTTCTAAAACCTTCAGTATAGCTTCTGAAGTTTCAGAAGGAACTGAATTGTACAATTGTTAGCAATCGTAGTTTGGAAATCTTAGAAGGTTTGTTTCAGTTTTGTCCATTGTTGCGTAAGTTATTATGTGTGATAACATGATCAACTATCATATGATGAACCAATTGTTCCTCTAATGTTGTAGAGCGCCAACTGTGAATAGGGAAACGTCGTTATTGGCCATCTGTAAACTGAAAGTATTTATAATTGCAGCATGCTTGAGACTGTACACCTGCCTGACTATATGGACTTGAAATAACTTGAAAGAGACCTGTCTAAAAAAATAACTTGAAAGAGACTTTTGGCTGCTTTGCAGCCATAACCTGAAAAAGAAGCTCAGTATCAAAAATAAATCAAGCCAATTTTAAGAAGTAAAAGTTTTTTTAGACTGGTCAAAGGGGGGAGAGATTCCCCACCTGAATTTCATTAATCTTAGGGAGTAGCGGTACAGAACTAGAGCAGTGGAAGTAAAAGTTTATGAAATCCAGCTTTGGCCTATAACTTAGCGGATCAAAATAGGGATGAAAATGTTGAACAGAGCACGCCGACAGGTGATCTGTTCAGCTGTTCTGTTTTGTTGTGCTGAACTTATTTAAGGCAACAAAAGATGACTTATTCCCGATCAAGGTTGTGCTTCAGTTATAGGGCCAACAAAACAAGCAATAGAAAGTCATGGCAAGCCAACATTGATTCCTGAACATGAGTGAGCGTGTATAGAAGACAATGGACGCCCATACATATTCTTGGAAGTCTTCTGGAGTAATACTAGTCATTTTAGAAGATACAGTATGTACTATGGGTGTGTTCGCCCAACCATGCCTCCCGACACGAAAAACAAAACACACGATTATAGTGAGATTAATTAAGTATTAGCCAAAAAAAACTTAAAAATAGATTAATATGATTTTTTAAGTAATTTTCATATAAAAAACTTTTTGTAAAATATGCACCGTTTAGCAGTTTGAAAAACGTGTGCGTAGAAAACGCGGGAAGTGGGTTGGGAAAGATGGGATAAGACCACAGCCTATATGTTCTAGTAGTCTGTACTATGTAGTCGTTTTGTTACATAGAGCTACTACTACCAACTCCACCCCAAAATAAGTGCAGCCTTGAATATTCGTGTCCAACGTTTGATATTCGTTTTATTTTAAAAATTTATAATTTTCTTTTTTAAAAAATAGTCACACATAAAATAATGTTCATATCTTATCATATGATAATAACAAAAATACTAATCACAATTTTTTAAGACGAGCAGTTAAATATTGAATATAAATAGTGTAAAACCGTGCTTTATTTTAGGACGGGGAGTAATATACAGTCACGCTTAACTGTTTTGACCGATCCAGCTCGGTCAATCCAATCCGGCTGGTAATTAAACAACACGAGCGCAGTAATTGAACTAGCAGCAAACTGTGGCTGACGCTGACCTGCTCGCTCTGCCAAATTTGACAATGTTGCCTTTCTTTCGTCAACTATTTGCATTGCATGCATATATATTTGTTGATCAGTTCCATGGTTTTGATTTCGAGCTTGCTCCTGCTACGTACTCGATCTGCTGCAGCTAGCTACTACTACCAGATTTTCTGCAACTCCTTCACTCCACAAGAAAAAACTACAAATCGATCAACATGGAACCACAAGAACAGCATCAAGAACCAGTGAACGATGGGCTGCAGAAGCAGGAGCAGCACAAGAAGCACAAGGAGAAGAAGAAGGAGAGGCTCCTCGACTTCCTCCGGGCAGCGCCGTCCAAGGCGCCATGGTTCTCCTTCTCCGGCGCCGCCTTCCTCACCCGCCTCGCCTCCCTCCGCACCACAAACAATCCTGCTGCTTCCCGCCGCTTGCCGGCGTTCGTCCGCTCCGTCGACTGGCGCGCCCTCCGCGCCAAGTGCCTCGCGTGGGCCAAGCACCCAATGAACGCGGCTCTGCTCATCTGGCTCGCCTTCGTCGCCGGCGGCGTCGCCTTCGTCTTCCTCCTCATGACCGGCGCGCTCAACTCCGCCGTGCCCGCCGCCTCGCGCCGCCGCCGATGGACCGAGGTGGCCAACCAGATGCTCAACGCGCTCTTCACCATCATGTGCGTCTACCAGCATCCCAAGCTCTGCCACCACCTCGCGCTACTCCTCCGATGGCGCGCCGCCGACGTCGCCGAGCTCCGTGCCCTCTACTGCAAGAACGGCGCCGCCGGCCTGCGCCGCGAGCGCCTCCACGTGGCCGCCGTCGTGCTGCTGTTCCACGCCACGTGCTTCGCGCAGTACGGCTACTGCGCGCTCTTCTGGTTCTTCGGAAGAGACAACCGCCCGGACTTGGCCGTCAACCTCTGCATGGCGCTCGGCCTCGGCTTCCCCATCGTCGCCGCCTTGTACATGGTGTACGGCCCGCTCGGCCGGAAGATCGTGCTGATCCCGGCGTCCACCGACGACGAGGAGAACTTGAACTCGCAGGTCGACGAGGCGAACGCGATCGCGGTGACGGCGCAGTGTGACAGCAACAGAAACAGGGCGGTGGTCGCGAAGCCGGAGTGGGCCGGCGGGCTGTTCGACGTCGGCGACGACCCGACGGTGGCGGCGCTGTCGCTGTCGTGCACGTTCTGCGTGTTCGGGTGGAACATGGAGCGCCTGGGGCTCGGCAACATGTACGTGCACGTCTTCACGTTCGCGCTGCTGTGCGCGGCGCCGGTGCTGGTGTTCGCGGTGGCGGCGCTCAACGTCCACGACGACACGCTGCGGTTCGTCGTGGGCGCCGCGGGCGCCTTGCTGTCCGTGCTGGGCCTCACGTACGGCGGGTTCTGGCGCGCGCAGATGCGGAGGCGCTTCGGGCTGCCAGCGCACCGCTGGTCCATGTGCGGCGGGCGGGCCACGGCGGCGGACTACGGCAAGTGGCTGTGCTGCGCGCCGTGCGCGCTGGCGCAGGAGGTGAGGACGGCCAACCTGTACGACGTGGAGGAGGACGTGCTGTACGCCAAAGGTGGCGAGGAGGAGGAGGAGGAGGAGGCGGCAATGGCGCCTTTGGAGAGAGAAGGCTGCATCGTCGCCGTTGATGCGCCGCCGCTACCGATGAGAGTCGAAGAGAAGGACTATGTCGTGTTAGACATGGGTCAATGAAATTTCGTTCCAAGATCAAAATAGGCAACATGTAAAAATTCCGATCTGCTCTTTTTTTTTCTTCATTATTTGAAGAGATATTCCAATATTTGACTAAATTTGTTCATTCGTTGACTGCTTGGCTTTGGCGCTTTATTTAGACCCGGTTTATATACCATTTTAGAAATTTTCACCCTGTCATATCAAACGTTTGAACAACTGCATAAATGATTAAATATAGGTTAAAAACAACTAATTGCACAAATTGCAACTAATTTACAGGATGAATCTTTTAAACCTAATTATTACATGATTTGACAATGGAGTGCTATAGTAAGCATTCGCTAATAACAGATTAATTATGCTTAATAAATCATCGTGCGGTTTACTGACAGATTTTATAATTAGTTTTTTTATCAATGCTACGACACTCTATATAATAGGCGATGAAACAAGAAAATTTTTTTTTACACCCTATATCCAAACACCCCCTTATTTATGTCTGGCGATGCCATCAGGCGGCTACTCCTCGCCGGCGTCGCCCCTAGCAACCGCCTCCCGCCGCTCACCGTCAAGCTCCTCCACGCCCGCCTCCTCCGCCTCGACCTCCTCGCTGGCCTCTCCTCGCTCCTCCTCCGCGCCCTCACCTCCTCCGCCCTTCACCTCCACGCGCTCCGCGTCCACTGCCTCCTCCCCAACCCCTCCCACCTCACCATCCCCATCGCCCTCAAGTCGGCCTCCCGCCTTCCGCACCCTCTCCGCGCGGGCGAGCAGCTCCACGCGCGCTCCCTCAAGCTTCCCTCCCACACCAACCCCCACGTCCTCACCTCCCTCCTCAGCCTATACGCAAAATGCGGCCTCCTACATCGAGCCCAGAGGGTGTTCGACGAAATGCCACACCCCAGCACCGTCCCCTGGACCGCTCTCATCACTGCCTACATGGATGCTGGGGACCTCAGGGAAGCCGTCCATGTCGCAAGGAATGCTTTTGCGAATGGTATGCGACCGGACAGCTTCACGGCCGTGCGTGTCCTGACTGCGTGTGCTCGGATTGCGGATTTGGCAACTGGGGAGACTGTTTGGAGGGCTGCCGAGCAGGAGGGCGTTGCACAGAGCGTGTTCGTGGCCACTGCGGCGGTAGATTTGTATGTCAAGTGTGGGGAGATGGCAAAGGCAAGGGAGGTGTTTGACAAGATGCGGCACAAGGATGCAGTGGCCTGGGGCGCCATGGTTGGGGGATATGCTTCCAACGGCCACCCACGAGAGGCTCTGGACCTTTTCCTTGCAATGCAGGCAGAGGGAATGAAGCCAGATTGCTATGCAGTAGCTGGGGCGCTATCAGCCTGCACAAGGTTGGGTGCATTGGATCTGGGACGGCAGGCAATCAGGATGGTGGACTGGGATGAGTTTCTTGACAATCCAGTCCTAGGGACTGCATTGATTGATATGTACGCCAAGTGTGGGAGCACGGTCGAGGCATGGGTGGTGTTCCAGCAAATGAGGAAGAAGGACATTATTGTTTGGAATGCCATGATCTTGGGGCTTGGCATGACTGGCCATGAAAAGATTGCATTTGCCCTTGTTGGTCAGATGGAGAAGTCTGGCGTGAAATTGAATGACAATACTTTCATTGGCTTGCTCTGCAGCTGTACACACACTGGCCTCATTCAAGATGGGCGACGGTATTTCCATAACATGACTAAGTTATACCACATCAGCCCTAGGATTGAGCATTACGGTTGTATGGTCGATCTGCTCAGTCGCGCTGGGTTGTTGCAGGAGGCTCATCAACTTGTTGATGACATGCCAATGCCAGCAAATGCTGTTATATTGGGTGCACTTCTTGGTGGCTGCAAGATTCACCGAAACACGGAGCTTGCTGAACATGTTTTGAAGCAGCTCATTCTACTGGAGCCCTGGAATTCTGGGAACTATGTAATGCTCTCCAACATATACTCTAACAGAGGCAGATGGGAGGATGCAGCGAAGCTTAGATTGGACATGAAAGCAAAAGGGGTCGAGAAGGTTCCTGCATGCAGCTGGGTTGAGTTTGAAGGTAAGGTCCATGAATTCCGTGTCGGAGACAAGTCGCATCCTCTTTCAGATCAGATTTACAAAAAGCTCGACGAATTAGGATTGGAAATGAAAACCATGGGTTATGAACCAACAACAGAAGTGGTGATGTTTGATGTTGAAGATGAAGAGAAGGAGCACACACTAGTGCATCATAGTGAGAAACTAGCAATTGCATTTAACCTTCTCATCACTGGACCAGGGGAGACCATTAGGGTCACCAAGAACCTCAGAGTTTGCAGTGACTGTCACACTGCAATTAAACTCGTATCGAGGATAACTCATCGGGAGATCATTGTCCGAGATAACAATCGATTTCATTGTTTTAGAGATGGTTCTTGCTCCTGCAATGACTATTGGTAGAACCGTAGAACTAGAAAGTAGACAACAATTTGTTGAGAGCTGTGATTGGTGGATAGAAGAGTATAAAGCAGATGATGATGGAAGAGTATAAACCAGATGATATTGTGTTTGGAGGCGCTTCTATGCTTCACTTCTTGTGAAATGCACAACTTTTAAAGCACAAATAAAGGATGGATTGCAGTTGCAGTTAAATATCCCTTCAAGTGCTTCATGATTTGTGCAATTATTTAAACAGAAAGGAATATATATATATATATATCTCTTCAAGTGATTGGTTCACTTCCAACCAAGACACACACATGTAGAATAAGCTATTTCTTCCCCGTCAGACAATCTGCACCAGTAATTGTCTGATCCTTCTGATGCTTCTTTTGGATGTTGTACTTATTTTCATTCATTCTCTTTGTTCTACTGCTATATATATGTTTTCGACTTCTCAACAGTGGTAATTATTGTGAAAGCTTTCTCTGGAAATATGTTACTATCTCTAAACAAGTAGCAATTAAATAAAGTTGCATAGGCTATATATATAAGAAGCTAATTAACAAAGAAAAAAGAATCTTTGTGGCTAGTCTAACATGGCCCCCGGCAGATTTGACCAAATGCACACTGACCATAACGGTAGTGCAATCAAATATACCTATGTTTTGGATGACCTGCCCATGTGATTTTGCCTTCAAGCCACGGAGCATACGGACTGGCTCCTCCGCTTCTGAGGCGTCACTCCGCTTAACCTTCAAGTCTAGCACCAAGATGAAGATGCCACGCTTGACAATGGCAATCACAAACCTCCTGTTAAGCTGGCACGGCTTGGCAATGGCAACACACTCAATTGATCGACAAGCCGCCCTCCATTGATCGAATCCCTCCTTCGGCTTTCAATCTTGTTTCTTTGGTCCTGGCCTTTTATCTGACGATCGAGCGGGGCTGTCTGAATAAGTTACGGTTTTGGCTTCAAATAACAACCGTAGCTAGCTAGCTAGCTCAATATTGCATATACAGCTTACTTCTCAACTTTGCTTTGCAGCGGAGAATCGGCCTTGTTGATCTTGTTTCTGAACAAAGCTCACTTGCATTGACCACATTTCACCTCTACATTCTCAGGTTACTTCACACGGCACAGCTGACTCCTGGTCCTGGATATATAATCTCTTTTGTACAACACAAACCATACATACATTTTGGCTTTTGGTTCCTGACACATTCATTGTCAGCAAGCTACTCAACAGCAACGTTACCCAACTAGACATATATGCACATTTGTGGCCAAATGAGAGCTGGAGACTCAACTTCAGTACACCTGGATGGCGTCCTGTCTTGCGTTGCGTTGGTCTCTTCTCCAATCCCATGGTTTCTCAGGATTCCCTGACGCCCAAAGCCCTCGGTTTGCAGCTCTTGCCTCTCTCTCCCACTACATAATCAGGGAGTAAGTGAACAACTCTTTATTACCCAGAAGTAACAACATATGTAAGCATGACTCGACAAAGTTTATGTAAAAAAAAAAGGTGTCAGAGCAAAACAAGTAACAACACACAATATAGTTGAATCTCTTACTCTTGCAAACTCTGGGCGTTTATCATAAGTCTTGAAGTGCCATGCGTGGCCATTCTTCAACATTTGCTCCTGAAGGACTCAAAGAGAGCACATAATTTCTCTCATAAGAATTGAAGCAGTAAAATCATGATACATGTGGAGGTACTGATGAAATAGGTTATGTTTCACCTGAATGAACAAATTATTGCAATAGATATCACCAACGTAGCGCCCAAACTGGTCCAGATCATATACATAAATTTTGACGCTCTTCCCACCAATTAGTTTCACCAACGCAGTCCGTGATTCCTTCCCGTAGGGCATCTTAAGCTCCGGTGCATCAATTCCCCTTTAATATAGAAATTATAAAAGATCATGCACTTCACCCCTCCCAGTAGTACATCAAATTTTTATTCGATCTAGAGGTGCAACGTAGATACCTACCTCATTCTTATTCTGTATTTCCTTGCGAGGACCTCGTCATCTGAACAAGATATTATCCTGCTCATCAAAATTCATAGTAAGCCATGTTTTCCTGTGATCTCCAAGCAAAGCTAGCACATATATGTGATTAAACCAAATCGAACTGATGTAATTATTGTCCACATTTAATCATGAATAGCTGCTATAAAAATCTTCACTGTTTTGTTCCGAAAATGCATAAATGCATGTGTCAACTGTGTGGGGACAATAAGAGCATCTATATACATATCAAGGATTGTGTGTTAACTGTAATTATTAGAAGAAAATCAATTTAATTTTTAAGCTCTGTTATTTTCCTGTGCCTACTATATTAGGCATCCTGCATTGTTCCATGAAAAGACAATATTCAGAAAATTAGGACCATAACTCTTGTATGGAAAATTAGAAGATTCGTCATTCAGATATGCAATCTTGTGCTATTAACTGATAAGGATCAAAACAGATCAGTTTCCATACTTGTATCCAGCTTCATCAAGGCTGCTTAGAAGAGCATCAGCACTCTGGTAATCCCTACATTTGCGTGCTTGAGTTCTTGCTATCACCAACTCATGCACTTCCAATGGCACATTTGCAGATTCCCTCGGATCCGTTGTGGGAACATATGCAGTAAATCCATCACCATCTCCAATGCACTTGTCATAAACCTATAATATCAGTGATATGTGAGAGTTAGCATTTGTCAATAATTCTGTAAATCATTGTTCAATGTGTGATGTCGGATTCTTGGTGATAAACCTATCTATCTATCTATCTATCTATTATATACTAAAAGTCCATTAAACTTTCTAAAATCACTTTCAAGCTGCCATGTGGCATCCTAAAAACGCTCTCAAGCTGCCACGTGATGCGAGGAGAGAAGATGAGGACCCACAGAAAAAAACAAAATCATCTCCCACAACCTCCGCATGTATGCATGCATGTGGCTGCTTTCCTTCCATGCTTAGCGGCAGGATTACCAAGTAATCATGGTATTACATTAATGAGGTTTTTCTCTGTTATTTGGATCGGTGTGTAGGAGCCCATGTTGGGCTTTAGTCCGTTCAGCTGGCTAGGCCTTTGTGCCACCTATATATGCCATGTTCCTTGTATTAGGAGATTGGCTTTTAGTTTTCCTTTGTATTGTGCCGCCGCCGCCGCCTAGGTCAGGAAGGAGATGGTGATTCCATCTGCCTGACGTTTTGCCACCATTGTTGCTGCGTTGGTTTGGACGAGCATGATCGGGAATTAATTTCCTGGGCGTGTTCTGATTTCTGCCGAAGTCTTCTTGCTCTGATTGTGTGTCATTCTTGCTGCACGGGTGGAGTTTATCTACAGATTTGGTTAGTTTATTCATTGTAAACCTAATCATCTATCTGTTTAAATTTGATCTAATGGAGCTATTCAGCTTAGTTTATCTGGAGTTATCGATCTTATGTGTCTGACCCTATATACTTTGCTGGACGAGATCTCTATCATCTTAATACTGCTGCTGCTCTTGAGTTATTAAAATGGAGATTACAGTATATATATTATCGCTGCAGACATACAAAGCATTTTGAAAGATTGGGACAAAACCAGGAACCGTAGCCGTTTCCTTATCACATTCCCTTTTTGCCCTGTTTTTTTAGTTAGATTCAGTAGTTTAAAGATATTTAATGCTCTTTTCACAAAATTTCTAATAAACTGATGGTTCTAGACAGTTAGATCTATCTAACAAATAAAATACTAAAATATTCTCCATGCATGGCTACAATAAGTACATATGCGCCTTCTTTCCCCTGTTTTTTTTTATAGTTCAAATCAAATTTTTACATGTCCCTGAATTCATACTCACATTGATGTCTCATATACATATTGATCTCGGAGGAAGTAAAACACACTATGTCTACTGTTATAATATTTTTGGCTCAATTTTGGAGGCAAGATTTTAGAAAGGACGCATTTATCCCATAGCGAGTTGTACACTCAACATAGTTCTGTTTACATCCCAATTTTAAGAGATCAAAATCATTTCGAGAACGATTGATAGAACATGGGCCTCTAATATTCCAAAAGAAATAGAAAGGACAACTGGAATTCAAACGAAATTTGGGCTAAATTTAAACAAATTTTGTTGAATCCAAAGCCCGATATAAATTGCACAAAACATTTGAACTTTTTTGCATGAAGTTCAATAACTATTCTTAAGAAAATGAATTTCATAAAGTTTAGAACCCAAAACGAAGATTTGATATGTATTAAAAAGAGCATATAGTTTAGATGACAGTTTATAGGGGCCAACTCCATTGTTGCAACATAATACTTTCATATAATTCAAGATTTCATGGTTGTAAGTAATTTTAGTTTAGAATTTTTGTGTTGCAAGGATAATTAGCATTTAAAATAGTCACAAACAAAATATTGACAAAAAAACAGGTTGAGAATAGAATCAGGAACAGTCACGCATATACAAATATTATATTCACATGTATAGAGTAATATTTCAAGCAACATTAAATTAGATGCCCGCGCATAAGCGCGGGCTTCCTTTCTAGTTATTCAGAATAGTTGTAATAGTTGATCACACCGTACCGGCAAAGTGTTTAGCACAAACTGCACGCCCTCTGGTAGCAAGGATGGTTGGTAGTTTGACGATGCTGTGGGGAGTGATGGGATCGGAAGGTTGTAAAATTCAAGAATACCCTGAGAGGAAACATAGTTTCTAGACGAGGTGAGTAGAGTATCTATAGCCAATTTAAGCAATAGAAATAACACAAATTGCAGTGAATTGCTTTGATTGATAATTTCAGTTTGTAAAAAACGATCCTTGATCATGAATTGTTCTGTGGTCACTCGGGTTGAACTATTCAGTATTTCAAAATAGGAAAAACAAAGTTACCTCCAAATCAGCTCTCTGGATCATATTAAGGGCTCTTGCAATTAGCTGAGCAGCATTTGCTGGTGTTTTTGGTGGAGGTGTTGTATTCTTATACGCCTCCAACAGTTTCTGGTACCTATTATTATTCCAACTAAGATATCAGATCAAACATTCCTTTGAAGTTTGTTCAGTGGAAGTTGTATTAATATCATATATACTAGCTGCTAGTTGCAAGATTTGCCAAATACATTTGCTTTGTGACAAACTGGTTCGTTACTGACAGTATAACATACCATTGGAACAAGAACCATATTAAACATACCTTTACGCTACTTGAAATTCTATCCTACTAAAATATGTAAAAGAATTCAAGACCGAAGCTTGTACGTCAACATGGCTGATTTCGAATTTAGCCTGAGTCTTCTGGAGAATGTACCAGAAATGTAGCCAAGAACACAATTTATCTTAATCAATTTCAACTTCCATGTGAATATGTAACTATACATTTCGTTTGGTAAGATTTTTTTTTTAGTCCCAAACTCCAACCGTTGCGTACTCTTATCCTACTCTCTGTTTTAACCATTGCCAGAAGGTTTTAGTTTGCTAAAGGCATGTAGCCTAGTGGTTGCAGTGACCTGAGTAGCACCCCAAGGTCCTGAGTTTAAATCTTCATATGAGTGAATTTCAAATTAGATTGTTTGTGGGGATAACTTCCCAATTTAAATGGCTGCATATATCCGGTTGAATGTAGAGGCCATGTAAAAAATACCCTTCCCTAAAAAAAAGAGAAGGTTTTAGTTTATCAACACCTGAAGTAGCCTGGACAAATAGACCATACTAGTGGTGCATCAACTTTTGCTTGTATGTTTCAATATTTTTTTTTATCAAGGGCATGACACCCCCATTTCCATTACTAGAAATGAACAGAATCTTGTATGTTTCAATGTCGTTCTTTTTTATATTTTTCACCTTCTCAAATAAGGATTTGTCTACATATGAACCAAGTATGGAACATCCTATCCTAGGATAGCAAATCAAAATCATTTAACCGCACAGTCATAAAATCATTTAGAAAAAAGCCCAACTTAAGCTAGTACAACAGTAACCAATCATTTATTTATTTAAAAAATTAACCTACAAAGCAAAGCAATTTTGATATCAGTAGGTACACCAAACGTACAAAATCTAAAAAAAAAAAAAATCAACTCTACAAAGACTTTTAGAGCTGATCCTTACCATTTAACTTGTGCTTTCCTGGATGATACAACGTGCTGACTGAGGCCATCAGGAACCTGATAATATGGACAAATAATACTTATTTTATACATGTAAACTGGGAATAAAGAAGTAATTGAACTTGGCATGATGCGCCATTAGAATATGAACATATTTGCAAGTGCTAACAGAAATGGTAGTATCGCAATGCAGCATATTTTTTCAGTCCAGATAAAAGATATTCATCAGTATTCCAAAAGAAACAGAGGGGAAAAAAAGACGAAAGTGTGCTTATAATCAGGTTGGTTTACAATACACTAAACCCCTTACAAAAATGACTGAATGAATCACATATAACAAGATAAATCCAATAAAAAGGAATATTGTAAGTATTGGCTTCGGTAACAAGAGATTGGTTTCAATTGCAGAGGGGTTCAAAGCTGAGAAAAGTTACATATGTGATGCAATTAACACCTACTCCAAAGTCCAAACCCAACCTTTTGTCATAGAACCAACCAAAGAAACCTTGTATTGTAATTGGATAACCTCTAATTAGGATGTAAATGCATGCTGAATTGCTGATAGATTAATGTCAGACCTACAGTAACCTCTTCTAGTTAGTACAGTTGCAAGCTGAATGAAAGAGGAAAGCGGGAGTAAGGGCATGTAGCTAGGAGCATGTGTAGAAGTTACCATGGATGTGGATTCGAAGTTGAGGAGATCGTGCGCCAGGGCGGCGACGCCGACGGTGGACGGCGTGACGCCATGGGGGCCGAGATGCTGCTGCTGGAGTGGAGCTGGGGGGGCTGCAGGTTGACCATGGTAGTGAGGAGGCTGGTAGTGTGGCCTGGAGGTTGGCTTGTAGTAGGGATAGTGATCACCGCCATCGTCGTCTCCCTTGAAGCACCGGAGGATGTTCCCCATGGATGCTTTCTTCTTGCTCTACCTCTATCGTATCAGCACTCCACTCTTCCCCGGGAGTTGCAGGCCTGCAGCTATGGCCTATGGCTGCTGCTTGACTTGCCTACTTGAGTCTGTGACAGAGGAGCTTGGGAACTCTACTCTACTCGGACTCGGGGAAATTTCGGAGTGAAGAAAAGCAAAGAGAAAGGAGGTGACTTGTGGGTCCCACCAGCCTGCTACAAGTGGGAAGGAAAGGAGGAGACTACACTAGTACACTACACTCTCTAGGCTTTGATTCAGATAGCTTATCCATAATATACAACATTGACCATCTATGATGGTTTGCCTGATGGACTCAATAATTACCGTGTTGGTGTTCTCATGTAGTCAAAAAAAAAAAAAAGAAAGACAATCAATCATACGCAGTAATATTGACATATCAGAATATACTACTCCAGTATCTATAACAGTTATTGGTATTTCCAAATTTCAGTAAAAAAAATATCCATACACCTTCACCATTGTCCTTCAGCTCCGGCCGATGAGCATGAGCTTCAGTTGAAATAGCCACTCTCTGTACTAGTAGGTCGGCACTGTACTTGATGTTCTCCTTTCCCCCGTGATTAAAGGCGCAAGTTGTCGATGGCTCCAAATGCCATCGTCATTTGTGTTTGTAGCACCTACGTCATGTACTTGATCAGGATTACGACTTGGGGGATTAGTCAGGTTAGAGATGTTTAGTGCATTACCGACATTTTTTTTTTGCGCCAGCAGTCCAGCACAATAATACTCCATATTGTAGAGAGTACCAAACACTGCCACACTAGTCCATTACAAAAGAAGGATTTCTTTTTGAGCAATTTTACAGTTCTTGAGGAGGTATTATGAGATACTAAATTTTACACTAATTTTTTAAGTACCTCGTAGTACTTAGATACCAAGAGGTACCAAATTTACAATAGAAAAAGTGGTACCTCATAGTACCTACTCAAAGACTATAAAATTGCTCTTTCTTTTTTGATTGTTGAGATAACAGTCTGAACTCCAAAATGAGATGTTCAGTTCAGAAACACTTGACTCTACACGAACATGATATATGTCAATATCATATGCATACTTGTACATATTCCTAGCGATAGAAATCTAGACTGTGTCCAGAATCAAAGCAAGATTATGCAATCCTAGGTACAGTAAAATACAGAAGCTCGCCAAAAATCCTAAAACACAAGATTACTTGGAGAAGAACACTAATATTGCAGCAGAGCAGAGAAGAGAAGAGCAGAGGGAATGTGGTAGTATATCAGCATGACTAGCCAATTAAGTCAGTAATCGGCGTCGTTCCTGGTGGCGGCCTGCTGCTGGACGACGAGGATAGAGACCTTGGCCGCGAAGTCGGCGGAGGCAAGCATGTCGCCCAGCACTCCCAGCTCCGGGAACTCGCTCCACTCCGACAGCCCGCTCGTCAGCGCCGCCGCCGACGACCCCTCCGCGCCGTCGCCGCCGCCCTCTCTCCTACCAACCACCAGCAGGTCGAACTTGTCGCTCATGGCGCGCACCACCGACGCCGTCCCCTCCCCGTCCTCCACCGTCTTCTCCACGTACGCCACCCTCTCCGCGCCCGCGCAGCTGTACCTCTGCCAGAACTCCTGCAGCGCCTCCTCGTCCCTCATCTCGTCGCGGCCCCCCATCCCCACCCAGTCCCGCAGCTTCAGCCGCACCACCGTCACCGCCACCAAACCGCACTCCGCCATCCGCGCCACGTACGCCAGCGCCTCCCGGTCGTCGGCGCCGCCCAGGAAGTAGAGCGCCACCCGCTGCAGCGTGCTGTTGGACGCCGTGGCGCACGCCGACCCCGCCGCCACCCCGTGGTCGATCAGGATGCCCACCGAGCACGGCGCGTACTGCATCACCGACCGGTTGATGCCGCGGATGGCGTTGTTGGCGGTGCTCCGGGCGCCGTCCGAGGACTTGTGGAAGGGGAGCAGGATGAGGTTGGCCTTGCGGCTGTGCGCCAGGAGGCACACGTCGTGCTGCATGCTGCTGTACGGCGACGCCACCACGTACGGGCTCACCGTCACCGCCCCCAGCGGCGCCTGCTGCTCGAAGTAGCGGAACGCGTTCACGATGCGGTCCGACGGCGTCGGGTTGCCGCAGCTGCTCCGGGACTTCCTGTGCGGCTTCAGCACGGACGCCGCGTGCCCCACCAGCTCCGTCAGGTGGAGCACGATCAGCGACACGGGGGCGTCGCGCGACGACCCCGACGCCTCGATCAGGTCCAGCAGCGGCGCCGCGTGGTCCTCGCTGAAGAGGCAGGCCATCACCCGCAGCTCCGCGTTGGGCCGCGACTCCTCCATGGTCCGCCGCTTCGCCCGCGCGAACCTCCCCGACGGGTCGTACAGCAGCTTGATCAGCGGCGTCGCCACCGCCGTGATGACCACCATCGACAGCGTCAGCGTCGAGTAGTGCTCCGCCGTCGCCTTCATCGTGTCCCCCCAGTTGTTGATGGCGGCCACCTCCACGATGCCCCGGATGTTGAGCATCAGCGCCAGCACGGTGGCCTCCCGGAACGGCATGGAGAAGAAGAGCCCCGCCGCGACGCACCCCACCATCTTGCCGGCCACGCACAGCGCCACGAACAGCTCCAGCGCGCAGAACTTCTCCTCGTGCTCCGCGCTGACGCCTATCAGGCTCAGCTCCGCCAGGTCGGTGCGGTAGCCGGCGAGCGCCATGTAGACCGGGAGGAAGAGCGCGATGAAGAAGGAGTCGAGGCGCTCCGTGAGGGTGGCGCCGATGGGCATGCCGCCGGGGAGCGCGAGGCCCAGCATCATGGGGCCGATCATAAACTTGAAGCCGATGACGTCGGTGACGAGCGCGGAGAGCAGCGCGGCGATGACGACGAGGACGAAGGAGCCCTCGGAGAGGAGGTCCCCGGGCGGGGTGCGCTTGCGGGCGATGTAGCGGCCGGCGGGGCGGGCGACGAAGAAGACGAAGAGGACGAAGGCGGCGAAGGAGGCGAGGACCTTGGCGGTGAAGAGCGGGGACTTAGCCTGGGTGATGAGGAAGGCGGCGGCGAAGCAGGCGCGGAGGAACCAGGAGGTGACGTCGGTGATGAGGGAGGCGTTGAGGGCGACGCGGCCGAGCTCGGAGTTGAGGAGGTCGAGCTCGGCGAGGGCGTCGGCGACGACGGGGAAGGAGGAGAGGGAGAGGCGGACGGCGAGCTCGGTGATGAGGGAGGAGCCGCGGAGGTCGGCGGGGAGGGAGGGGCTGAGGGCGTGGAAGACGGGGAGGGTGACGGCGAGGGGGACGAGGGAGCCGGCGAGGCCGACGGCGAGGGCTCGGGCGGTGGGGCGGCGGAGGAGGGTGAGGTCGGTCTTGACGGCCATGGAGAAGAGGAAGAGGATGAGGGCGACGAGGGAGACGCTCTCGAGGATGTAGGTGCCGCGCTCGGAGAAGAGGGCGGTGCGGAGGTGGGGGTTGCGGCCGAGGACGGAGGGGCCGAGGAAGATGCCGACGAGCATGTGGGTCACGAAGCGGCACTGGCCGAGGCGGCGGAGGACGTGGTGGGCGGCGGCGGAGAGGATGAGGATGATGGAGACCTGCACCAGGAGGAGCGGGAGGGCGAAGCGCAGCGGCTCGTCGCCCAGGAACATCCCCTGCGAGTTCACCAGGTTGTTGTCGTAGCACGCCGCCACCACCGGCTTCACCGTCGACGCGTTTGCACCCGCCATCGATCAAACTAATTAATGTCCTTCAATTCAATTATTGTTAATTTAATTGTTGGAATGAATGATCTAGCCGCCGCAGAGGAGGAGCATTGCAGCGTCAGCGTGCATGAGGGAGGGAAGCCATGATCGATATGATGGAGGAGGTGTGTGGTGTGGAAGGTGCAGAGAGAAGAGGATGGCTGTTTTTAGTTGTGCGGATGAGAGGGCAATGCAAATAGAGAGATCGACGTTGCATGCAAATATGCGATGCAACTGAGGACCGCCATTGTTGGTTGGAACTTGGAAGAAGAGGAAAGGACGAGCTAACCAAGCAAAGGTGGAAGTCAACAACTGGGCCCAGCAGTCAACCATCATCGTGTGCACGCCAACTAGGATGGATAGATGGGCCACATGTATTCCATCGGGCAATAATCGTCGGCCGCATGTTCATTCCGGCCCAACTAATAAGGGCCCGCATGTACGTGACAATTCCATTCGGCCCAACTATATCAGTACGCCACAATCCCGTTACATCTCTAAAATTCAGAGGCTCACCTGGAATAGTATTTGGTTTCCAGTCAGTGGTGAGTTGGACTGCAATTGGGCATAGAACAGCACACGGATCACCCAAATTTGCAATCATCAGGTGATCACCTTACGCAAAAGCATAGCAATGGGAAAACAGGGCAATTCAAGGGTTCGAGAGTTTTGTATTTATCCCTACAAACTATAACTATATATGACATACGCACAAAATTTGGCAAGTTCAATGTTCAATGTCTTGCATGCTATGATTTCAGAATCTTAGTTTTAGGTAGAGATGGTGTAGTTCTACTATATGGACAAGACTCTTGCCGGTGCAAAAATAGTTGAAAGATTCTGTAATCGTAGTACTAATACATGTGTAACGACAGTGACAGCGGTTGTGCCACTACAAATGCAACCAATTCAAGAATGTTGCCTCAGCTCCTCGTCCACATCCTCAAATGTCTTGACATACATGTTCTTTCAGGTGGATAACAATTGCTTCTCATTGTTAGAAGTATAATATGGTAGTTAGAGATAAGAGTCAAATACAAATTATAGAGATAAGATATATCCTAGAGATAGAATCCTAGAGATAAGATAGAGTCCTAGAGATAGAATCCTAGAGATAAATCTACTCTTATTTGTATTGTACTCCAAGTCTCTATCCCCTATGTACTCCTATATATACCCCATGAGAGGGTCGATCCAATATATCAGAAAATACCAAAATACAACGTATTAGATTTTCTACATGGTATCAGAGCCGTAGACAAACGTCGATCGATCCTCGGTTCCAGCTAGGTTCCATCCGCGCTGCCCCAGGGAGATGAGATCAATTTCTCCCTGGGGCACCGCACCGCATTAGCTAGCTAGCCTCTCCAATCATTTACAGATTAGTTTACCGCATATCATTAGATGCGTTTTCTAATAATTAGTTTTAGATCTATTAGCTAGCCACAGAAAACCATATGATCGTCAGGAGCAATGCGGCAGGTGTTACAGGAGCAGACAACGTCAACAAGCATCATACCATCCGGCCTCATCCATGGATCGATCTGCATCGCCTACTTCACAAGAAGCAAGGGCCTGATGCTGTTCGTCGCCAACATGTGCACACGCCTGTGCTGCACACCTGCATCAAGACACCGGCCGATCATCTGCGACGTCTTCGCGGAGTCCAAGTCAAGTCGCCGAGCTCTCCAGGACGATCGTCTTCGCCGATTCTACATCATTTCATCAACTTGCCGCTGCCGACTCGTCTACATAGATGGACACCTCGCATCCTCTGACAGATTAATCTGCAAGACGCTTCATCGACGACATCGACCGTGTCCTCTACGACGGCAACGACCGCGTCACCGACAACGGCATCGATCACGTCATGTACGACTACAACGACTGCATCAACCCGGCATCACTATTGTGATGACCGCTATACGGCGCAGAAGGACCAACCAAAGTGGTGGCCTCATCGCCAACGACGTCCTCTGACATATGCAAGACGTCCCCAATGGCATCCTCTGACATCTACAAGGTGCAAGATGCTAACAATTACAGTTTTTGTCTTCACACCATGGCGTAAATATTTTTTTTTCGCCTTCGGCTATATGCGGCTACACCGACAACCACAGCTACTTCATGATCGGCTACATCGACGAACGTCTACAACAAAAATCATTGACGGAAACTCCAGTCCAAGCGTCCGTGTCATCGCTATCGTCCATGACACTCCCGCTATGACTGCGGGAGGGAATAAAGGAGAGTCAAGGGACGACACAGAAGGGGACGCAGGCACCAGGTGGAGGACCGTCCATCAGAGATGCAGTCGATGATGGTGAGTCAAAGAAAGATGAAGAAATAGAAGATTTCAAATCCAGTCGCAATCGTTCACTTCGCTCCCGTTACGACTGAGGGGGAATGTTAGAAGTATAATATGGTAGTTAGAGATAAGAGTCAAATACAAATTATAGAGATAAGATATATCCTAGAGATAGAATCCTAGAGATAAGATAGAGTCCTAGAGATAGAATCCTAGAGATAAATCTACTCTTATTTGTATTGTACTCCAAGTCTTTATCCCCTATGTACTCCTATATATACCCCATGAGAGGGTCGATCCAATATAACAGAAAATACCAAAATACAACGTATTAGATTTTCTACACTCATCGCTTGTATCACTGAATGAGGTGCAGTCTTATTTGTCCATGGAATCCTTATCACTGTTATTGGAAGGATCTTGTTCAGTTTTCAGTGTCAAGGAGGAGGATTGTTTCAACAGAAGGGCCTTGCGAACATGGCGAAACAACTTTCCTTCAAAGATTCAAGATTTTGTTATAGTAAAGATATATCAAGTGAATTGTGCATATCAACAGGAAAAAGGGAAATGTACTTGCATTGGAGGTGCAAGCTATAGACATTCAGGCACAGTCAAAATAAATAAAGGTTATTATAGAAATGCAGGTACAATTCAGGTTGCAGAATTTCAACTTCAGCAAAAGCAGAGATGAATCTAGCGTATGGTGCTCAAATCATGTTCATAATTCAGCTTGTAGTAATCAAACAAAGCCCCTTAATAGCATTAGCCTATTCCTCCATGGCAATCTTCAGTTTGTATACATAATAGTAGTACAAAAATGAGAGACATGTTGTCAGATGTAATTTTCATACCTTTCGCACCAAAACTGCAAGCATTATCAAAATGGAAGGAGCATTTTGCACTTGGGGTAAATTAGTAGAACGTATTGAGCCATGGCAAGAGAAACCTTGTGAAAGAAGGTCAACCATCAGGTTCCAATTTCATTAGCAACAATAATTCACAGAGTTCGTTAATGGGCTAGCTTACATGCTAGCCATAATAGTCTTTACAGAATCCAAGATTCTGTAGTAGTGATAGAATAGTGCTGAGTGCTTGCCCTCCAAGCCATCACGGTGGTATCTGTTGCTACCAGCGAGGTTGTTGCACGGGCTGCCCCCGATCACCAGGTCAAAGCCACCAAATCTTCTGATGAATAGTTCAATTCTTTCAGCAGTAAGATTTTGAACATCTGCGATTTCAATCAGCGTGCCAGTTTGGGTCTGGTCCCACCAACTCCTCAGCAACGTCATGTTTACCTCTGATATTTCGACTAAGACCACTGTCTTCATACAGATTCCAAGCCTGTGGAGAGCTACTTCTGCTCCACCAATACCAGAAAACAAGGACAAGACGTTCATGCCATTAGGGAATATGTCCCTCAGCACAGAGAGGTGGTAGGCAACTGTATCAACTTGGAATGAATTCCCAAGAGCTCTATATCTCGCTGTCCTGCTAACTCCCCTGGTATAATTCCTATGTTAGAATTTCAATGGTTACTCTCATTGAGAAGAGGATGGCACTCGAGATGGGGCAATTTTCTGGTTTTCTTCATTCACAAAACACAAAAGCCATACCTACCCGAGAGAGGTTGGATACATATATATAGCCATAGCTGGCTACTAGCCTATTGCTGCACCCTCCTAGTCTAAAATTCGAAATTTGAATGGGATGCTGTCCTAGAGGGCATCCAAACTGAATAAAGCATAAAGGAGGCATAAAGGAGATGCTAACTGCTGCTGTCCTACTAACCGTAGCTGTCCTAGCAACTGAAAAATATGCTAAAGGGTAGATGCTGTCCTGAAAAGGTGAAACTACCCAAAAGCAAAAAGAAGAATCACGACCAAGGACCACAAAGACTTATCCAACATCCTAGGGTATCCCAATAGGAATTCCATCTCATCAGGCTCTAGAGTAGCAACCTTGTTCTTTCCAACCTAGACAAGGTTCCACTTCCTACATTCTTCCAAGACACTCTTCTGAACTGCTGGAGGTAGTGCATCGCCGAATCTACCAAGAGCACATCGTATCCGTTCTGTATGCTTTGCGCTTGCCACACAAGTTTGCAAGCAGTTGAACTGCCTTCTTGGATCCCAAAAGGGCCACCACATCTTAGTAGAAGGAAAGGCTTCAGATATTGTCTTTGGGGGAATGGGAAGAACAGGTGACCTGTTCTTAATCGGCAAGTTATGGATGTAACCCCTCTTCCTAGCAGCAGCACAGAAGTATTTGGAATATACGAACTCAGGATAAATGTCATACAAGAATCTTGAGATGGTCGTCCATACACCTTTTGGAGCTAGGGCCACGTTTTCATAGTAAAAGAATGGTGGTCCAAGAGCCTGGTCAGGAAGGTTTCTGTGGACTGACCTTAACCCGTCATTGGGCAAGCTGAATCCCACCATTGAATTTGGAAGAGGCATTGGCTCTTCATGGCTGCCGTCAAATGGCACTTGATTCCATTGTGGTCTACTTCTATACCGTTCTCTTTTTTTCTTGCTTCCATCTATTAATTTTGTTTTCTTTCTTCCTCCAAAGGAACTAAACTCTGTATCCTGCACAAAAATAAACATTATGCCAGTGGCATTACATTAAAGAAATGAAAACAATTTCACCATTCAGATGCTCTATAATCACAAGGTACCCATACTTCATAGTCAGATAAGTTTGTAAAACAAACATTTCCTGCAGTCGCTGGTGCATAGATTGACTCAACCAACAAATCTACAGACGCATCCAGACCTGCCAAATTTTAACCCAGCATAGGCAGTATAAGGCTCCTTACTGTCAAAGCAGCAACTTCAATAGAGGTATACCGCATCTAATAATAGCCCTCATTACTTCATCTTCAGGAAAACCCATGCTGACTAAGGACTTGATTTTCTCATCTTTCTCGGACATCTCTTGTAAAAAGTCCTGCAACAAAGCACATTACAAGCAGACTGAAAACATTTGCTACATCTCACTCATGAATTGCAGTCTGAAATAGCCTCCCAACAAAGCAACTAATGCAGGCATCACATATATGCATGTACACCCAAATTTACTGCAACAAAATATACGATTATCCTTCTGTGTCAAATTTGTTGTTGCGTCTTACAACTCCATGCAAACAGATACTACCATACTATAGAGGAACTTATTTTGAGGATTAAAGTTAGAGGAAACTCATACTAAAGATGTAATGAAAAAGTAGTAAAACTATTTAAAAAATGGTGAAACAATAAAGCATGTTAGACCACAAAAAGGAGGGGGAGTACAGCTTATCAATCATCAACACATGGATAAATGCCCAGCACAGATTACCTAAGCTCTCATAGGCATCATTTCAGTTCCATTTTTTGTTGTCTATTATGTTTTCAGATGTAGCCAGTGGTTATCATTGTTCTGTCTGGTGGTCTTAACTTGCAACCATTCAATTATAGGCATTCAGTAGACTATCTTTCATCATTGCTTGGTTTGAATACGACCTTGTAGAAGTATATGATCATCTCTTTGATGGTTCTGTAGTAGTTCTGCTATCTCTCTCACTATAAAGGCACCATACAAAAATGCCAGCTAAAGAAACATAGAAGCAAGAGCAGGATCAACAAAGATCCTTTAACAACCCTATAGGAACAGGTATTGTTTTATAGATAACCCAAAAAACTACAGCATTGCAGTACAGGTAAGCATGTACACTTGTTTACTAAATAAAAGTGAAGCATAACTTAAGTCACAAAACCTTCCAATTTATTGGACCAAGACCAATAGATAATTTAGACAAGCACTAAAAGGGAATGTGTGCTTGGCATGAAACAAGTGTAACAAAGGTTCGATCATGTCTGATATAAATATATAATGACCAAGGAGGGAGTCATGTGAATACCTCATCACCAGAACCATCAGAGTAAGTAGCCCTATCAAAATTGTCAACAGTATCATCCTCGTCCCAATTAACATCCTCCTCCTCATCTTCTTCTTCAAGAATCTGGGGGTCACAGGCAGAATGAGAGCTGTTACCCACTGAAGGGTCACTGCCTATCGCCTGCATTACAGTGTTACGTAACATGACTTGTACAATAGAGCATTAGATAATAAACAAAGTGATGCAACCACGTGAGCAAATACCTGATAAGTGAGAAGTAACTCAAGAATTTGCTCCGAATCTGTGTCCCCTGAAAGAAACGGCAACAGTTGAAACAAAAGATGCAAAATGCAACCTAAGCAAATGAGGAAATGTATTATTGTTATCATTACCAATCTCCTTGATAGCTCTGAAGACCATCTCTCTCGAGAAACCCATTCCCAAAAAGTAAGCAACCAAAGCTGATGGTGCTGATCCATTGGCCTTCCCATTAGCATCCTTTAGACAAACACCATATTATGATTATAATTATAGTAAGGTAATATCATGGTTAAAACAAATGACCAGCTCGTGTGTGTTCAACTAGACTTATATCTCCAACTTGCAGCCTGGGTCTCGTGGACGGACCAGGCGCATCCGTGTTCGAAAAGGCTGGAGCAAACGTGGCCTCAGACTCACCATCAGTATCCCACTCGAACTCGCTATCCTCATCGCTGTCGCTAGCCTAGTCCTGTAACATAAGTTAAGCACCTCACCCCAAATATCTCGACTACCAGTGGAAATAAGGCAATTTCAGAGGAAAGGAAAAAAATAGCGAAAGATTGAATCGGGTTTAATGTAGCATCTTGTGTAAGGCATACTGCCAGTGCCACCCCAATATCACATAGCCTCATCAAATCACAAGGGAAAAAATATTATGCTTCTCCGCATGCGGTTCGCAATATATCCACGCGATATCATGAATCAAATTCACAAGCACGACATCAGCCATCACAGTAAGAGATAATTTTAGGATCAGAATGCAGATCATCCTTGTGCGATTGAATAAAGGGTAAACCAGAAGCCCCTCCAACCCAATTCCAGTCGGAAACCCTATGCACGAACAAATCGTGCACAGATGGAGCAATACACGAACAACAGCAGCAGCAGAAGCGCATCGCCTGCACGCGGCAGCGGGAACCATTGGGTGTGGCCAAACTGATGTCATGGATGGAGGAAGGAGAGGAGAGGAGAGGAGAGAAGAGGAGGGAGGGAGCTCTTACCACCATTGTAGAAGGTCCGCGAAGCGCCTCAGGCAATAACCTCTCGCTGCTCCACCGCGTGCTGGCCTCCCTCTCCTCCGCCGATGGCCGGCCTAGATGCGGTGGCAAGGAAGCGCGCGGCGGAAGAGGAGGAGAGGTCGGTGATGGTCGGACGTCGTCGCCTCCGCTCCCCTTGGCTTGTCTTGTCGACGACTACCAGAGAAGACGGGCCGCACGTATCTAGCATTCCCGTTACGGCCCAACAATAATATGGGCCTCAAGCTAGCCATTAATCCCGTTGCGGCCCAGGAGGAAGGGAATGAGGCGCCAACGATCTACTGGTTGGTATTCATGCCATAGAGGAAAAAGTACACCGAAGGTCCCTCAACTTGTCATCGAATTACAAAATCATCCTCCAACCACAAAACTAGATATAAGACATCCCTCAACTTACAAAATCGTTCACTTTATGTCCTTCGGTGGTTTTGATCCCAGTTTCGTCCGATGTGGCGGCTGAGTCAGCGTGGGACCCACGTGGGTCTCACATGTCAGGGTGTACAGTCAGCACCTCTCCCTTCCCCCTTCTCCCCCTTCCTCTTCTCTCTCTATTTCTCTCTCTCTCTCTCTCTCTCTCTCTCTTTCCCCTCTGCAGGATGCTCGGCGGGTGGGGAGCTCGTCGGGGCGAGGTGGGAGAGGACATCCGGCGGGCCGGCGATGCGGCGGCGGCGGCGGCATCGTTGACGATACGGGAGAAGGGAGAGCGTCACCGGCTCACCGCGCGTGCGACCTCGGGGTCAGGCCGCTAGAGAGGCCCGAGCGGTGGCGGCGAGGACGCCAAGGCGCGGGACTCCGGGTGGCGGCGGCGGCATACGACGCGCTGCCGGCGCCGGTTTGGGACCAATTAGAGGAGCAGAGAAGAGTAGGGCCAGGCCGTCATCTCCCGACAACGGCGGCGAGGCAAAGGAAGGGCGGCGCGGCGAGGAGGGAGCGTGGTGCTGCGGGAGGCCATGGCGGGACTCCCGGAGCACGGCGACAGCCGCGTGAGGTACAGCAACGCGTGACGGCGGGCAAGCGAGGGCGGCGAAGGCGAGCCCGCAGCGGCGGTGGCTAGGGAAGCAGCGGAGACACGGTTGAGGAGTGGACAGCGACGAGCGGGAGCAGGCCGACGGCGGCAAGGGAGTTGGGCGAGCGCGGTGGCGGAGAGGCAGCGGCAGCAGCAGGCGAGCGCGGCTGCGGATGGGGAGCGGCGGCGCCGACGACTCCGCGCCGCTCGGTCTCATTGTCGTCGGCGGCTTCGGGTGGGGGCGCCGCGCCGCCGGCTTCTTGTCGCTCGTCCGCGGCGGGGGTGCCGCGCCGCCGGCTTCTCGTCGCTTGCCACGGCGCTGGAACGGGGGAGGACGGCCGGAGAGGCGGCTCGTTGGGGACAGGCTCGCGGAAGAGCAATGGCCGGAAGGACAACAGCAGCGGCGGCGGCGACAACGCGTCGGCCGGCCAACTCCCTCCTCGCCGCCTCCATCCCCACTTCCCTCCCGCTGTCGCCATCTCCGTCTTCCGCTCCTCCCTCGCCCCGGATGGGAGTTTCGTCGGAGCGGCGTCCTCCTCCTCCACCTCGCCACCGCCATTCCCTCCAGCTCCCCCTTCGCTCTACCCCTGTGGTCCCGCCACCGACGCCCCTCCCCGCTCGCGTGCGCCGACCTCGTCGACCAGGGTGACTTCAACGGGGCACGCCACGACGGGACACCGTGCTCGCCGCCGCCGACCTCGTCGAGCGGGGTGACTTCGACAGGGACAAGAGAGGCCGTGGCGACGCCCGACCGCGGCGTGCTCCTCTGCACCGGCGACCGCGCCCGCGCCTGCCGCACCGTCCTGCCACACCGCCCTGGCTGCTCTTCGCCGGCCACCGCCCATGGAGAGGGAAGGAGAGAGGAAGTGAGTTGATGGGGAGGGTAAGAAGTGGTGACATGGATAGTCTGACATGTGGGTCCCACGCAGACTCAGCCGCCACGTCGGACAATACCGGAGTCAAACCCACCGAAGGATCTAAATTGAAGGGTTTTGTAACTTGAGGGATGTCATATATCTGGTTTTGTGGTTGGGGGACGATTTTGTAACTCGATGACAAGTTGAGGGACCTTCGGTGCACTTTTTCCTGCCATCGACGGAATGAAAACTCGAAATCTTGTCCATTATAAAAGAAGAACTGACTACGGGTGAAACTTGAATTAAGGGGCTGTTTGGGCAGAACGATGGAGTACTTTCAATAATCTACCAACACTAATTAAGAATCTGTCTATCTGTATATAATTCTCTCCCGATCTGTTTGCCTGAATTTTCAGTGCATGGGCTCCTCTTTCTCTGCTCCCAGATCAGATGAACTGAAATTGAAATGGAGTTTAATCCATTCCAGATAATCATCAATCATATATGTCCATTTAATTTGTTGATAGCGTACTCCATTAAGGAAGGAAGAATCACAATAAATAAATCAAACAAAGGCCACCACATCCAACAGCTAGGCAATCATTTTCAGCTACTACAAGAGAGGGAGGATAGCAGCAGCAGTATCGGTCCCTATTCCGTCAACTCAACAACCTGAATGCGACATACGTTTACGTCAATCAACTTCTAAAGCGTCTCCCTAATTTTTGCCATTTAAAGCATGTAATCAAACCCTCTGGATTACGTTTTCCGGCAACGAAAGCGACTGTTATCAATCAATCAATCAATCCTCGCCTCGTCGTCTTCCTCCAGCGACGTCGACCGCCGCCGCCAGCTCAGCACGGCGCCCATCCGCGGCAGCCTCACCACCGAGTTCACCCGAGCCACCCCCTCCAGAGCTCTCCATACATTCGTCCCCTCCTCCGCCTCGCCGCCGCCGCCGCCCAGGACCTTTCGGAAGCTGCCCGTGAACGACACGGCCTGAGGAGGTTTCGCGTCCCCGGGGGTGCTCTCCGACGACGACGGTGAAGGCTTCAAGAAGAGGCACACCACGGCGCAGTCGTCGACCATCGACGTCGGGAACTTGCGCCGCCACGTGCGCACCGCCCGCTCGACGAGCTGCTTGGCGGCCTTGGAATGGTCAGTAGCCGACGATACGATCTTGATCACCTCCTTGTTCGACAGCACGTCCCATATCTGCACCCACAACAATTTGATTGGTTGCATTATCTGAAAAACAACCTCTATCCGCTATTCTGATTTATAAATTCCCTGTGGATGAAATTTTGATTGGTTGCATTATCTTTAAAAAAACAATTTGATTGATTGATTGAGGCAAAAGCATTCATGATTCAGTTAACTTTCGCTTTTCTGGCTGCAACCATATGGCTTTGCACTATTAATTTTGTGCTCATTTCATATCTAGTACTGGAACTGGAGTAGCAGTGAAACAACCAAGAGAAAAGTGTTACTCTTGATTATGAAAAGATGGTGAGTAAATGAAACTGAATTTGGCTGCCATCATCAGGCAAAAGTCTTTCTGTTTGCTTACCCCGTCAGTAGCAAGTACCAAGAAGTCATCTTTTGCAGATAGCTTCCTGTAGTAGACTTCTGGTGTACAGATTAGTCCATGACTCTTCAAGCAGAAATCTCCAAATGCCCTTGCCATGGCGAGGCCCGGCGCGTCTTGGTCTGGTAGCCACATCCTAGGCACGTCCGGCTCATCGTCCATGGCGAAAACCCGCCCCTTGGAATTCAGGATTCTCTCAGCTTCGCCTGTCAGAAGCCCCCATATGAATGACAAGTGAATGTCTGAATTTAGACATCTCTGTACTTTGAGAAATTCAGAGGCTTACTTGGAAGATTTGGTTTCAGGTCAGTGGTTAGTTGGACTGAAATTGGGCGGTCCTTGCTGTCTCGGGTGCAAAGAACCGCACGTGAATCGCCCAAATTTGCAATGATCAGGTGATCACCCTGTGCATAAGAATAGTATTTGGGAATTTAATCAGAATGATTACGAGTTTGAGAGTTCTGTATTTAGGCACAAGTATAGCTGTAACATACGCATAAAATTCGGCAAGTTTCTTTGTTGCATCTGATGGTTTCAGAAGCTTGTTTTTTAGGCAGAAACGGTGTATTTCTAGTGCATAGGCAAGACTATTGGCAATACAAAAAAATGTTGCAAGTTTGCATAGTTGTAGCACTAGTACCTGCCTAACGACAGTGACAGCAGTTGTGCCACTACAAATGCAGTCAATTCCAGAATGTTGCCTCAGATCCTCATCAACATCCTCAAATGTCTTGACAAATATGTTCTTCCAGGTGGATAACAATTGCTTCTCATTGCTTGTATCGCTCAATGAGGTGCAATCTGACTTTTCCAAGGTTTCCTTATCTGTGTTGCTGGATGGATCTTGTTCAGTCTTCAGTGCCAAAGAGGAGGATAGTTTCACTGGAAGGACGTCGCGGACATGGCGAGCAACTTCCCTTCCGAGAGGGCCATGCCCATCAAAAACTCCACAAAATATCTGGCCCTTGTGCCCCGCAAAGTCCTAATGAACTTGACACAGGTAGCACATCAAGACCTAGATTATCTTATATATATTAAGTAAAATGTGCACATCAAGGGGAAAAGGGAAATGTACTATCATTGGAGGTGCAAGCTAGAGAGGATCAGGTACGGTTGAAGTAAATATTACAGAAATGTAGGTACATTTATCAGTTTCAGCAAAAGCAGAGATGAATCTAGTGCCCGGTGCTCAAATCATGTTCTGAATTCAGCTTGTAGTATCTAATCAAAGCCCCTTACTAGCACTACCCTTTTCCCTCCATGGCTAGCTTTAGCTTGTGTACATATATCACAAAGATGAGGGAATTTGCAGAGACAAGAAGCTAAGCAGCACTGAACAAACATGCAAGAGCAAGCAATCAGGTCTAGTTGAAGATTTGAAGTAAATACAGGCTATTACAGAAATGCAGGTACAGCTCAGGCTACAAAAAAAATCAGTTTCAGCAGAGCATGGATGAATCTACTAGTGTATGGTGCTCAAAGTCAAATCATGTCCTGAATTGAAGTTGTAGTAGGCAAACAAAGCCCCTTTCTAGACTAGCATTACCCCATTCCTCCATGGCTAGAGACTCAGCTTGTGTAGTACTAGTACATGATACTAGTATCAAAATGAGAGAAGAATCTGTACATACAAGCAAAGGAGGACTGGGAAAAACATGGAAGCAATGAGGCAGCAATGTGATGAGCAAGCAATCCAATGCAAGAGAGATGTGGTTACCTGGCAGGTAGTCATGGCGTCCTGGTTGGCGCCCTTCCAGCCTTGCTTGGTGTGCATGGAGACGCCAGCGCTCCAAAGCTGGTCGTGGAAGAAGGCGTCGTGCTTCCATGGAAATCCCTCCTCCTCAAGCTCCTCCTTCCCCTTGCTGCAGCATATCCCCATTGCTTCTGCTGCTGCTGATGCTCCCCTAGGAAGGAAGGAAGGAAGGAGGGGGTAGAGAGAGTAGAATGGAGTTGAATGCGTAGGGGTGGTTGAAGTAGTTTTGTTGTTTTATCATTGATGGTGATGTTGGGCATCAGGCACCCCATCCATCGGCCATTAATGGCGACGGATGTGCATCGATGATGGCCAGGCCGGCTGTCTATCGTCTTGGTGACTCGCCGCGTCGGCCATACAACGAACCACCTCACTACTGGAGTAACATGCATGCCTGTCGTACAGGTAAGGTAAGGTTGGAGCATTTCGTCCTTCATGACTGAAAATTTCAGGACAACATCTTACTACTACCATCTTTTATGTTGATCGACTACCAGTGTATATGTGTACTAGTCTACTATACTGCAGATGAAACTACACAGTAAAACTGAAAGGAAGGAAATGACAGTGCAAATGCAATGCAGTGTTGTAAAAGGATACGAGGTTTTCTCTGAAGATGAAGTGAGCTGTATCTGAATTCTGATCCATCGATGGAGGCGTGGAGAAGTACGTGGAGATGGAGGGATCCCTGTGCACAACGGCGATGATGGATAGTAGAGTATACAGGAGTATACAGTAGTTGCGGATGGACGGAAGTTGCTCATTATTACAACTGTTGGTTGGGTTGGGACGTTGGTTGCTTGCAATTAGAGTATTTATTTATTTTCTCAGCTCCAGAATCAACTGCTGAATCGCCTACCTGCATGCATCTGCAGTTTTGCATTGCGCTGCGCACCATCCATCCTCCTCCGCTTCAGTCTTCAATGCTTTACACCGTGCCTACCTGTTGTTGATGTTCCCTCCTCTCACATATTTCAGTTGTAACATCGACTTGTGACTTGCATTTTTATGACAATTGCCCTCACCTATTTCCCCGGTCCTTGGAGACAATTGCCCAACACCAGCAAAAGTTAAATAGTGATAAGCATTTTTATGCATTGGACCATGCATGGAACCTTACTGTGTAAATGACTCCATCTTTCTGCTGGGAGAGATGAACTGGAGTAGCAACAACCAACAAGAACCCGTGCAGTCCGGGCATGCCTGACAAAACCGCCCGCTACCATGTCTCAGCTCTCAACTAGCTAGCATTCAGACCTTCGCAGAAAACCAATATAGTGTTCAGTGCCTTTATTCAGGCAAGGAAGCTATGAGACCTCATTCCAGATAACACTCCACATAAAACACTAGGAGATGGAACAACCAAATTATAGTGAGAATGCAATGTTCCATTCCATTAATCAAATTGTGCATCAAAAAGGCACAGCAAGGCATATCACATACTCCGCACTACTTACAACATGCTTTACCCCAATGATCTCTCTTTGATTGTTGATTCCTACCTGCGCTATATACAACACAGCAAGAATATAACCTCCCTCGCCTCCACTGGCATACAAGCAAAATACCAGTACTAGTATGTTGTTCTGACAATACTACCGTCAGCAATTCAATACACTATTCAGCCAGTTATGGCACAAAACTTTTGGAGCTCATTCTCTAGGACTGGAGATATTGCTCTAGATAAATTCAACACCACAAAACACGCCCCAGTTTCCACAACGTTTATCTTTGAAACATTTCACTGTACAAGCAAATCCTGCGACTGCTGCTTCCATACATCACACGGTTCTACCGCAACCTGCCAAGACCACACCTGTTATTAGACACTGCTTTCTAATAAACTGCATACCAGTTAATGAACATGGCCAAAACGCAAGGGTGAACTATTTTGCACTTCAATTCTTCTACACAAGTAAACCGACTAGCATCTTACTTTGTATAACCAGAAAAGAAATATAGTAGAATACCTGGTAGGGTTTATTAATCCACTGGAAAAGACAACCACGGGCTTCAACAACTTTGAGCATATGTGATGGCACCATGGATTTGAATGCTTCATGAAGCTTCACTTTTCTCAAACCACAGACCATAAGAGCAGCTATCAGTCCATTAGGCGTAACACCCGCTAAATGCACAATGGTCATGTTCTGCAAGCCACATATGCTTGAAAGGGATATAAGCCCAATGTCGGTGACCGAACAATATGACAAGTTTATCTGCAGTGATGAGGAGATGTTATTAAGACAATTGGAAGCACGGTATTGCGATTATTTCTTTTACAGCAGAATGGGCTAATACCTGCCGGAGGTTGTGAGAGAATTGGGAAAGGAAAATCATTCCCATGTCATTGATCTCAAAGCATTTCTTGATATCAAGCTTAGAAAGTAGCCTGCATCCTGTGGCAATTTCCGAGAGACCAGCAGATGAAACCATGGGGCAGCCACGAATCTCCAATGTGTTCAGCTTTATGCATTTTGAAAGTGATCTCAGTGAACAGTCTGTTAATTTTGTGCAGTAGGACAAATTGATAGACTCTAACATTGGGCATCCTTGAGCTATATGAGTAACCCCTTCATCACTGATCGCCCCAGACCTGAAAGAGAGGCTATTAGTTAGTCTTGGCTCCTATCACGGAAGGAAAGGAAATCAAATATGCAATGTGTAGGGAATAACCTGTACAAATCGATATCTCGGAGATCTGGACAGGACTTGCTAACGTGTCTAAGGCCCTCATCAGTTATCCTCAAGCATATGCCAATTTTTAGGCTTGAAAGTTTGCTGCATCCAGAGAGAGCTTTCAAACCTTCATCATCCAAATCAGTGTCAGTAAGATCCAATTCCTCCAAGTGAGTGCAGCGCCTTCCAATCAGCTGTAGTCCTTTGCTGGAAACAAGGCTACAGGACTCCATTCTCAGAGAGATGAGGGAGGGGCATGAGGTTGTGATGGCAGCTAATGAAACATCAGTGATTTTGCGACAACAAGTAACATCCAGCTTCAGCAAATTTTTCAGTCTTGGCACGACAAAAGAAAGATCTGTGTCTGTCACTCCAGAACATTTGCTCAGACTTAACTCCCTCAAAGAAACACAGGATTTCCCAATGGATTTTAATCCATCATCCATGAATTGGCAACCATCCAGCTTCAGTGTCTGCAATTTATGAATCATTTCGAAGCTGCTTGACATAGAAGGAGTAACCTGCCACAAGAAAAGTGTAGATAAACTGAGCTCAAGTTATGTCCAATTGTTCAGGTGATAAAACTAGACAGTGGGCTACTTACAGGAGAGCAGTATGATAGATTGAGTTCCAACAGATTCGGCATTGCCTTCACAATGGACAGAACACCGACATGAGTGACATTGTAATAATTTGACATATCAAGAACCTGAAAGAGTACAGATATAATTTCAGCTCTCAGTTACCAGAAATTGTGATACTCTTATTGTTGAAGGCTAACAATGATTTAGTCCAAATTGTTTCAGTTGCAATATCCATATAGCCTGAATTGAAATGTACCAAACAATATACGAGGTATATACATGTTAGTATCCCTACAACATTAGCATTGCAAACCTACTTTACATGAGAAGCTAACTGAATATACTCAGAGCAGAAGACGATAAACAAGGATATTAATCAGATTTAAATTTAGCTAGCACAATGCTCACAGTGAAAAAGATAGGGGTTGATGATTACCTGTAGTGATTTGCTGCATTCTTGATCAAGACTAGTAAGGGCATCATCATCAATTCCATTACATCCCACCAGTAGTAACACTTGTAGACTTTGTAGCTTCATGATGGCTGGAAAGCATTTTTTTACAATCTGCACAACAATTTTTTCTTAGTCTGATGAGTGTGATCTAAACTGCAGGGCAAATAATTAACCTATAACCAAAAAATGATGATAAAACAAATCAACGGGAGAAGTAGTTACTACTGGTTCTGACAATTGAAAAGGTGAGGCAAATATCATTTTGGGTATAGATAAGAGCATCTGCAGATCAAGAATAGTCCAATTTCCAAAGCGCTTCTGTCATCATAGGCTAATGTTATTTTGTGGGCAATATTCATGTCAGGTGCAGAGAACCGGCAGATTCACAAACAAGAACAAGAAAAAAAAAACCACTAAATTAAGTTTCCTAAAAAAAAAACCTGACCTTGAAATCAAGAAGCGAATGGAAGGGGAAAAGGGAGTTCTTTTTTCCCTTTCTGTCGTCTAGGTACAATAAGAAATACAGTAAATGAAATGGAACAGAGAGATGAAGAGGCAAGGCACAAGTACCATGGTGTAGGAGAGATCCAGGATGTTGAGCTTGTTGCACTTGAGGGCGAGGAGGTCTAGTCCGAGATGAGTGACCCCGATGCACCACTTGAGCGAGAGCTCGCGCAGGTCGGGGCATCCGACGGCGATGCATCCGAGCCCCATGTCAGTGATGCGCTTGCATCGCGACAGCGAGAGCCTCTGCAGGCGGCGCGCCTTGGCCACCTCCGCCGCCGCGGCATCCCCGAGGTCGAGGCCATTGGAGAGGTCGAGGTCCGTGAGATTGGGGCACGCGGCGACGAGCGCGGCGAGGCCGGCGGCGCCGAACCCCCGGGAGCGGGAGAGGTCGACGGCGGAGACGGACGGCGCGGCGGGGAGCGCGGCGAGGGCGGCGTCGGGGAGGCGCGGGCAGAGGGAGAGATCGAGGCGGGAGAGGGCGGGGTAGCGGGCGAGCGCGGCGGGGAGGAGGTCGGGGCGGAAGGGGCGGAGTACGCGGCGGTGGCGCGACTCGGCGGCGTGGCAGGCGCGGGAGACGAGGGAGAAGGACTTGAGGGCGCGGGGGTCATGGGCGGCGGCACGGTCGAGGATGAGGAAGAGGAGCTCGTCGGCGAGGTCGTTGAGGTGCGGGGGCGGGGAGAGGTCGAGGCGGCGGCGCTTGACGCGGTGGGTAGGCGTTGGCATAGGCGAGGCCATGGCGAGGTTGACTGCAACAAGAAGAAGGGAAGGGAAGGTAGTAATAATGGTGGGCGTTTGGCGCGGCGCATGTGGAGAAGGAGAAGAAGGGAGGAAGAAACGAAACAAGGGGGAGATGAGATGACGAGAGTGCCCCGGCGGCGCCTCGATCTGGGTGAGGAGAGGTCACCAGCTGGGTTACCGTATTTGCCCCTCGTCCAAGTACAAGCATGGCTGGCAAAGGACGGTAATATACGTGGTCATGTGGGGGTGGAATGGTAAATGTGGGGAAGGGACGGTAATGTACGGAGAGAGTACAGGGTGGGGTAGAAGTGGAAAGCGAAGGCGAGTGGAGAGAGTCAAGTGGGGAGGGGGCGATGCGGGGGAGGAGAGATAGAAAAGGATCAAAGGACGAACGGAACGGATCGTACAGCTTGTGAGTGCGGACTCGTACGAAATCACACAACTACTCCTTCTACCCATGGAATCTTTTCACCCTACCCACCGACGCATGGGCCCTCCTCGTATTCAGCTCTTCGCGGGTAACGGAAAAAGCGTGAGAAAAGATAGTAGATGTTGGAAGTGGAAGAGGACGCGCTGCACTTGGGGGAGTTGTTGACTGGTCCCGTGCACCCCGGGGACGGCTCGGCTTGGGTGAAGGAAGGGAGTCGCCATTGCACTCAATCCGTGGGTTCTGCATCTACTTTCTGTTTGCATAACGTTTTCCTTCTCATTTTCTTTTTCTGCTTGCACGCACACGTTATATGCAAAAAGATTTAAAAATATACCTTTTTTCCCTGAATTTACATTAATATATGACTTCTAATTAGCGTGCACAAATATACCATGTTGTCTTCAGCATAGCGGGGACTATTGCTTGAGAACGCGAGGGTCAGTTTAAAGACGGCATCATATAACTCAGCAAACTTGTGAGCTACTACCTCCGTTTCAGGTTATAAGACGTTTTAATTTTGGTCAAAGTCAAATTATTTTAAGTTTGATTAAGTTTGTAGAAAAAAGAATATTTTCAACTCAAGAAAAATTTATTATGAAAATATATTTAATTATTGATTTAATGAAGCTAATTTGGTGTTACAAATATTATTATATTTATCTATAAACTTAGTCAAACTTGAAGTAGTTTAATAGTCAAAACATCTTATAGCCTGAAACGGATGGAGTACTTTGCTGCATTTGAGTTGGCAAATGCCGAGCCAACATAATAAACCAGTGTAATAATGTAATTAAATCCACCTACCTTTCTGTATAATTGTGATCATATTTGATTGACGACATCATGCGCCAGCATCCAGACGAGTTCAAGCAGATGGGATGCAAAGTCGATGATGTCCTCGGACTGACCCGAACGAGTGCATGCAGACATGGTGCGAGCTCGTGACCACACGGCCCAGTTTACATAGAAAATATGCCATCTCGCGGCCCTATAAAATTACTTCGCTTCATGCCTGTGCGAATTCTTGCAATTTTGTGGTGTCCACATCTGATCTTATTGACCATGGCTATAGTTCGCAAGGTTTCAGCGCGAACTAGTTGAGTGTTCGCATGTCGTTCTCGTGACGATGATTTGTTATTGTGAAAATTTTCAGCATTTGTATACTTCAAAAAATGATATAATTATATAATTATTATACTTTCAAAAATTTGTATACTTCCAAAAATGATGATTTGATATATAATTATTTTTCCACATTACATACATCATCGAACACATACAGATACAGTCACAGTTAGATAGTGGTACATAAGTAGTCACATGTAACATATTGCGTACAACGGTTTTTACTTTTTAACCTTTACAAGAGCATGATCGGTGCCATGCTCATACATTACAACAGGACCATATGAGAATAGGTTGCATGAGCCCATAGACCGAAACAATCTGACCGGTATTTTTGAACCGATTTTTTTCCTTTTAACCAATAGTTTGATTTTTCTTTGTTTTTTTTGAGGATGGGTGGTTATGCGAGTGATGTGAGGGAGAGGGAACATGTCGTCTGCGATTTTATAGTAGTAGAGATGTACTCGTGTTGTTCAACCGCGGTATCATGCCGTTGCCAATCATATTTTGTGTAATATATATGTATGTACTCCCTCTGTCAAAAAAGGCAACCTAGTATTAGGATGTGACACATCCTAGTACAACAAATCTGGATATAGAGAGGATGTGATATATCCTAGTACAACAAATCTGGACATAGAGAGGACGTGTCACATCTTAGTAGTTGTTTTTTTTTGACAGAGGGGTTATAGGGATGAAAGTATATCAAATTATGTTTGATTTGTTTCAAATCTAATCAGGTTGATGATATAGTAAAAGAATTCTAAAAGCCAACATATTAGTTTTTCTTTTGAAATAAAAGCATATTAGGTATTTGTCTCTCCACTTCGATAGAAAGCATGAATGAGACACACAAGGAATAAGCTATCTGTCCATCATGCAGGCAGCCACTAGCTTGAGCATATCTACAAAAGTGATAACTCGTATCTTGGTATGTATGCTCATACCTAAAACCAACCATCCATTTTAGCTCATGTCTCTGGAGTAGTGCTCCATTTATAGGCTATTTAATCAAATTAATATTAAGGGCCATTTTTTAGACTTAGATTTATTGGCTTAAGATTTTAAGTTAGTTTTTTTCTCATATGATTTATAAGCCAGTAAATTTAAAATCATAAGTTTTAAAGTGGAGTCATACCTCTAACTCACATAAGAAAAAAAAAGTTTTCTATACTAATTTTTGGCTTAATAGTGTAATAGTAACTTATGACTTTAAAAAACAAACGAAAAATATGTTTGTTTGTTTAAACTTAGACTTTCTGACTCATTAACTAGCTTATATAACCCTAAATAAAAAGGGCGTAAGATTAAAGAGAAATGTTCTCTGCTTTTGATACCTTATTGATGAAATTTTAGATTTTGAATTGCTTGGATTCCTTCTAAGCGTCTGATTGGATGAAAATATTTAAATTTGTTAGAATCAGTGTATCAAAAATGTTTATATTGCACATAAAATTTATACCTAAAAATGCTTATGTTTGGAAACAGAGAAGCAAATGAAATTATGAATGCAGTGATGACGTGGCACGAGCAATTGAAGCCAAAAGGCTATCGAAAAGCAGTAGCAATTAGCAAAAGGTGAAAGCATATATCTGGCCAGCCGTTCATGCATGTGGAGAGATGGAAAAAAAACTGAATAATAAAAAGCAGGTTAGGTCGGTCGGTCTGAGTGGCACGCCGTACCTAGAAAGGACAGAATTCAGTTCCGTTCCGTTCCGTTTGGTACTGGAACATGAACTAGCTAGATCCTCTCCTCCTCAGTACATACCTGTCCTGATAAGCACTCGCTCCAAACCACCACTCCAGACTCCACTATGTACACCCAAAATCTTGAAAGAAAAGGCGCTTCAAGTACAGGAGTAGGCACCAGCTGATTGCTTATCTTTATCTGCTCGCATTTCCAGTAAAAATTCCTCCTTGTCCGTTCTCTTCTTGGGAAGGCTTCTTCTACACCGTACTCTAACCTGCAATTGTTTTGATTCTACAAAAGTTAAGGGCCCCTTTGAATCGTAGGGTAGAAAAAACAGAGAAATAGGAAAAATATAGAATTCTGACAGGAATTGAAGTGTAAAACAGAGGATTGCAAAACACAAGAAAAACACAGGAATGGTCGTTTGATTGGAGCGCAGGAAAAACGCAGGAATCGAATGAGAGAGATAGACTCAAAGAAAATTTTCCAAGAGGTTGAAGCTCTTGCTAAATTTCCTCCAAAATCCACATGCAATGTGCCATTCCATAGGAATTCCATAGGATTTGGAAAGCTTCCATCCTTTGAATCAAAGGGCCAAATAGGAAAATTTCCTATAGGATTTGAATCCTATGAAATTCCTATATGAATCCTTTGATTCAAAGGGCCCTAAGGCTGTGTTAGTTGCTTGGGGTTAGGAGCTAATCCCTCACACACGTAAAACGAGATGACTCATTTGTGCATGATTAATTAAATATTAGTTTTTTTGAAAAAAATAAATTAATATGATTTTTTAAAGTAGCTTCCGTATAGATTTTTTTTTAAAAAAATACACCGTTTAATATTTTGAAAAACATGCACGAGAAAAAACGAGGAAGGTAAGTTGAGAACTTTATCAAAATTTATTAAAAGACGTGGGCCAACTATAAATATAGGATATCAATATATTTATATGAAAATATAACTATCTGTTCGTAATATCTAGGGACACAAGGTTCCTCACCAAAATTTTGAGAAAATGTGCAACTAGGGGTAACTCCAACTGGGACATGATTATTGCAGTTGCTTTCATATATACTACTCCTCCAGTTGATGCTACCTTAGTAAATGACGATTGATTAAATAGTGGCGTACCACGCGCACACAGATCGTTAGTAGTACAGTACTGTTCCGTGCAACATGATGCCTCCCCCAGTAAACTAAGGGCACCCACAATGGTTATCTATAGGCTCTCTATAAGAGATCCATGTCAGCATATTTTCCTACTTGGAAGAGATTAAATGAAGAGAGAGAACAAAGTTATCTACTAATCTGGAGATAGTCTATAGAGAAAAACGAGGCAATGTATTAGAGAGCTATTGATACCCATGTAGACATACTATTGAGATGATTTACTATTAATCTAGTCTATTGCTGAGATGTACATGTTTTATAGATAGCACCTTACTTTACCATTGCGGATGCTCTTAGGCTGCGTTCTGGCAATACTGCTGCTGCAATGCGCTATTATCATGACAAAATAACGTCATTGTTAACCAAGCATGAAAGCTGGACTTAAATAATATAATTGCCGGTGCATGTGTTCATCCGGCCGTACGAACCAATGTACGTATATATGTATACAAGGTAATTATGCCATAATTAGCTGCATGTTGGCGGAATGAGTCGCCAGTTTGAAGCGGCACATATATATACTCCAGAACTTAATTAGTTGGCTGATTTATGCAAGAAGACGTACATAAAGTTAGTTGAAAGAGAAAGGGTAAGAGTACATGGCATATATATGTTGCTTTCTTGTTGAGCTAGATGCTGACATCATGCAAGTATATTGACT